TATCATCTTGAGATGACTGAAATTTTTTTCTTCCATTAGTCTAGCTCGAGCTCTTGTATTATATTGGTGGGTGAAGTTACTTTGTGGAGCTATCCTTGAACTTTTAGTACCACAATTATGATTAGAAATGTCATGCTATGCTTTATGCATGATATGTTGATGCACAAATGAAATGTACATTTTTATGGATGAAATCTAATATGAAAATGATGCAGATGCACAATGTTACATATGACAATAAAAATGATGCATGACATGAATGCAAATACACAAAGTCAAACAATCAAAACAGTTAGATCAACATAACTTATTCCTTCTTGTGTCCTAGTTTTGAGGTATATCTATCATTGGATAGGGAGAGCTCTATCTTAGGTTTAGGCATTTCTAAGATTCACTATATGTGATTCAAAGCTAAAGTCTAAAGGGTCTCAAATTACTCCTTACATCATTGTTCGTCACAGACTAGTAAGGCATCCCAATCCTCACCCATTACAGGTTGCAAGCGAAAAATGTTCAATTTAAGTGAGAGTATTTCGCTAGTCACTGCGGAGGCATTAAAATCTCACGAAAGTATAGGTATTTTACTCCCTCTTAAAATGATGAAACTGAGTATAGAGCTCATGTTATGCATATGCATATGAATGACATAGTTTGCAACATAAATAAAATGAATGGAAAAGAAAAACAAATCCTTACAACGAATTCAATTTTATTAGGCTTTTTGGATAACACAAATTTATTTGTTTGCCTGACTCTCAACTGTTTTCCAGTGGAGTCACCAAACTGTCATAACATATAGATCTGGGGATCTATCGCTAGACATTGACTTTATAAGTCATCACAAATCTTTTTTGTTTAGGTACGATTGGTCACCTAAGGAATCTATCCTTTTAAGGAGCTATTAAGCTTGACTAAGGGTTCCTAAAAGAATAGGCTCGAGTCTACAAACTAGAATAAGGTTCAGGAGTTCGATTACATGTGGAGAAGGTTATAGCACCCTCACAACGCCTATCGAATGATGGTACTAGCTCGATTTCGTGTTATCCAATAAGCCTTAAAAATTACCAAATAATTAATTATTAAAAACTATTCTTAATTGACTCTAATACTTTTGGTAGAAAATTAAAAAAAAATTTTCACCTCAAAAGTATACAAGAAAACTATTGTTTCACTTGCAAATGCTCCATCGTCGGACCATTTAATTAAAAAATTTTTAAAAGGACAAAAGAAAAAATGGATGATTTTAATATAGGTCTTTTTTGTGTTTTATCAGAAAAAAACTCATGCTTTTATACAAGAAAAATTGATACTTTTAACTTTTTCTTAAAGCATTTTAATGTTTTCTTTTTATTTTTAAAGAAAACTGATAATTTCAACTTTTCCTTAAAATGTTTTTCCTTTTTGAGAATTTTATTTTTAAAGAAAATTTGTACTTTCAACTTTTCTCCTAAAATATTTTTTTTCAGAAATTTTATTTTTAAGAAAAATTAGTACTTTCAAATTTTTCTTTAAAATATTTTTTAGAAATTGGAAATATTTTTAGAAATTTTACTTTCAAGGAAAGTTATACTTTCAACTTTTCTTCAAAAATTTTTTTTTGAAAATTTTTATTATTTATTTTATTTTTATTAAATTAAAACATGCAAAAAATACTACTAAAAATAAATTACAAAACAAACAAATAAATAAAATACAAAAAAAAAAATGAACGGCTCGACTCAAGGGATTCGGTGCGACTCGACTTCAGGCACTAAGAACAACTCGAAAGATGTGGCTTGGTGGCTCGGCTCCAAAGATTGGCGGGTAAGCTGGTCAAGCATGGGTCAGAAACGGGCTGACGCTCAAGTCTGGTCGTTCGTTAGAAAACGCATGGATCCTGGTCCCTTCTTAACCTATTATGTGGGAAGATACTTTCTTCATTAATTGAAAATTGCATCTTTTTCCCTTACATCACCATTGCCATGAAATTGAAGGTCCACCTCAGTTGGCAGTAGCACAACAGTTTGGCAATCAAAACCATGACCCACGTCAAGAACAATGGCTGAAAATTCACTTCCTCCTTAAAGAAATAATCCAACAAGGACTCTATCAATTCCCCGAGAAATAATTTCTTTGGCCTTTTTAAGTGAATCAGTAACTCCATATGCAACTGTGACACCAATGCTTGACCCTGCTCTTGTTGGTTTGACCACAACTTTCCCTGAGTTTAAGTCCAACTGGTTGCGTGCAAACCATTTTGATAATTCAGATTCATTCACTTCACTTTCCTGCAGTAAGAAACTAGGTACTGTTACAACCCATGCTTGCTAAGGCCCAGGGAGGCATCATACTTGTCAAATGCTTGACGACACTCCTTAGATCCTGTGCCAATAAATGAAACATTATTTTTTTCCAATAACTCCTGAATGCCACCCTCTTCACCAAAACGACCATGTATAACTGGGAAAACTATGTCCATTGAGGCAGCCAGATGCTCAGCAAATTTGGACAAAGACTGGAAACCTTGGGCAAGGCTTTCGAGCTTAAAATCAAAGTCTGAAGGAGTATTGGAATATACCTGAGCAGAGGATATTACATAGGCAATAAGATGAGAGTCAATATAATAGCAGCTCACATGCAAATCCTCTCCCTGTATGTGATCAAGTACTGAGCGAGCAGAGTTCAAAGAAATCCCACGCTCCATCGATGGGCCTCCACATATCACACTAACTCTCAACACCTGACTCTTCTCCTCTTGGTCCACCAGTACAGCGTCCGTCGCCTATGCAGTGGCATGTGTAACTGCAACTTCCACCGTTTTTGAAGATGAGGAATGAGAAGAAGAAGCAGTAGTCACTAATTTGTGTGTGAATTTAGTAATCAAGTTTGAGGAGAGATGAAGAGAGGGTGATGTCTTGGCAGCACGGAGGAGCAGAGAGAGGTTGGAGAAGCACGCGAGGGACGCCATCGGCAGAACTGAGTTAGGAGTTGATGGTTCAACTGTTTGGGTTTTGGTCTATGCCCGCTGCTCAAAAAGGCTGACAAATTGGATTGTTGGGAACGAGTTTTCTAGGAATCACTCTAGAAATTGGACATATTTTCTTCTGTGTTTTTGTCCCTGATTTTCCCTGATCCCTGATCCCTTGTTCCTCTTCATTGCTGTGAATCACGATGATTTATAAAATCATGTTGATAGAGTTTCGGTTCAATTTTGATTAGCATCCAAAGTTAAATTAGCATCTAGATAAAAATCATTATAATCACCAAGCCTAATCTCTATCTTTCAGGTTTTTTCTCTCTTTTTTTTAACTAATTAATTAGATAATGGAGAAAAGAAAAAAAAATACAATAAACAGACCATAAAAATAAAAATTAAAAAATGATAAATACGAAATAAAAATCTGAAATAAAAATCCCTACAATCGAACCTGGATTGGTCTCAATTGATAAAGAACTCCGGACAAAATGAAGTGTCTACAGGGTGGTTAGTAATTTTTCATTCTCGTTTTCATGTCAAAACGCATCGATTCCCCATGTTTCAATCTTAAACTGACAAATCCTAGTTTCCTTCAAGGGCAAATGTAAAACCCCTATCTTGTATCGAAAAATTTTATGGATCAATTATGATTTATAAATAAAGATTTAATTTTAAATTATAAGATATCTTTTATGAGATAAAATCATAAAATCTTCATATCAAAGTGAATAATATCTCGTAAGTTACGTGTAAATTTTCACAAATAATATGAAAGTCATCATCAATCAAACGAGAATTAAGTGTTACATCATGAAAGCCACCTCTAAAAATTTACGGAAGATAAATATTACATGGTGAGAACCACTTTTAAAATTTTAACATCTGATGTAATCCTGTAATCTTTGTATACTTTATGTTGGATTTATCCAATATTTAGTGTGATTTGATAGACCTATATATTTTGTATTAAGTTTGATGAAGACGTCAAAATTTAATGAGAGGAGTTTATAACACTCTAATCTCATATCGAAAATTTTGTAGATTAATTATAATATATAAGTAAAAATTTAATCTCAAACTTATAAAATTATTTTTGTAAGATAAAATTATCTCAAGTTTGGTGCGGCTCTCCACATCACAAGTTTGAGTTTCAGAGGGTAGAACTGACTTGCCTGTTTGATCATGACCATGCAAAATGTAAAAGAAAAAAAAATCATGCATTAGCTATATACAGAAAGAAATCAAGATTTACCCATGGATGGTCAAAAATCAAAATTTTGGCCCAAGATTTTTTTATTTGGCACTTTTTTCTCGACTATTTTGTGATCAATTCGTAACATTGAGGAAAAATGGTGGAAGCAACGGTTTGAAGAGGCCTAAATCATGGTTTTTTTCAATGGTTTTTAGGAGCTTGTTTCAAGTTTTGATATCATGGAATTATTATAAAATTTTGATGGGATTTAATCACAATCATGAAATCCTAATTTAATACCATTATTCCAACACTTCGAATCATATCGTGAGGAAGAAACATTCCCTAATAATCTCCCCAAGTTCATTCTCCACCAAAAGATTATTGCCCTTCCATTTACCAAATTCCTCTTTACCAATATTAAAGTGCTGTGCTTTTTGGAAAGCATTGGCATTTCTACTTTGTGGAAAGAATTTGGTTTAAAAAGAGATTTCACTAATGAAAAAGCTTTCAACGCCGTCCAATATTTTTTTTTTTTCAAATATTTTTTTGAAAGCGCTTTTTTAATGTATTTTTATAACTATCATTTAAAAAAACGTTGTTTAGTGTTATAGTTTGATGTCAAATACATCTATTTTTTAAATAAAATGATCAGTGTCTTTATGTCATTATTTATCTATTTTATAAATTTTATAAATTATAATTATTTACATACTTCTATACAAATTTCATAAAAAAATAAATAGAGATGGAAAATAACGTAAAATGATCTGATTCAGCCAGAAAAAAAAAAGAGCTTCAAGAGAATGTCAATGAGATCACGTTAGTTCACACCTTTCTTTAGCAAGGAAAATGTCAAGTGACCCATTAAGTGAAGTCTTTAACCCGTTCTACACCTCAATAGCCACATGGAAAGTCAAATTCCATCATGTTGAAACTGAAACCACGGACCAGTTACTGTGGAAAATCCATGAAGTAAATGATATAAATAACTCACTACCCTTCAATTATTGTCCATAAATGCATCTGATTCTCACTCGTTTAACTTCAAAAAGCCTTTGAATCCCAAGGAAAGTGACCACGGCTATTCTTCAAATTTCTTCACCATTTTTCTCTTACTGTTCTTCCTCAGCTTCCTTTAGAAAAACCAGAGCCACTCTATATAACCCAAATGTTTCAGTTCCAAAGCTCCTTATCAATGATGAGTTTAACCAAAGAAAAGGGTTGATAACCTTCAAAACAACCAATCCCCTGACAGAAATTAAGCCTAAACTTGAAAATAACGGCACAAACAAGGAAGAAATCTCCAATTCAATGGTGTTGCAACATATGTATGCTATAATGGATATTGTCGCAGATAGAGTTGAAATGCACAAGAATATTGGAGCACAGCGTGATAACTGGAACAGGCTTCTATTGAATTCTGTCAATGGAATGACAACCACAGCTGCAATAATGGCTGGAATTGCAGCTGTCAATGGAGGTGGAGCATCCTTTATGGCTCTGAAGCTATCTTCCAGTTTGCTTTACATGGCAGCAACCGGGGTTTTGCTGGTGATGAATAAGATACAGCCTTCTCAGCTAGCTGAAGAACAAAGAAATGCTTCAAGATTGTTTAAGAAGCTTCACGAGGAGATAAAGACAAACATTGCTTTTGGAAACCCAGATTCAGATGATGTGAAAGCTGCAATGGAGAAAGTCTTGGCATTGGATGAAGCTTATCCACTTCCCTTACTTGGAACCATGCTTGATAAGTTTCCATCACTTGTACAACCAGCTGTGTGGTGGCCAGAAGAGAAGAGTACTCAACGGGAAAAGCTTGTCAGGAAAGTTGAAAAAAACGGGTGGAATGAGAATCTTGAAGAAGGAATGAAAGAAATTGTTGGGGTTTTGAAGAGAAGAGACACTGAAGAATACATGAGACTAAGTAAACTAGTCTTGAAAATCAATAAAATTCTAGCCATATCTGGCCCCTTGTTCACTGGCATAGCTGCAGTTGGTTCTGCCTTGATGGGATCATCTTTCTATGGCTCATTTGCTGTAATTCTCAGTGTAGTTTTTGGAGCTATGGCCGTTGTCGCTAACAGTTTGGAGCATGGTGGGCAGATAGGGATGGTGTTTGAAATGCATAGGAACTCCGCTGGATTCTTGAGGTTCATGGGAGAAACCATAGAATCAACCCTGGAAGAAGGAGAAGCAGATGAGGGGGAAAATGGGGAATTATTTGAAGTGAAAGTAGCTCTTCAGCTTGGAAGAAGTTTGTCGGAGCTCAGAGACCTAGCAGATGATGCATCCCATCCTCATTCTTCAATGAAGGAAGAGGATGGAGAAGAGTTTGATAGCAAGCTCTTTTGATTCTTATATTTGATATTCATTGGATATTGTACGGCTGGGAATTGAAGACTGAATTCTCTGATCAACCTGCTCGTTTCATGTTCATTTTACAGATTTGATTGTACTAAGTTTTCAAAATGTAATTAAACAGAATGTAGTGAATAGTCTTATATGCAGCCAAACAAATGATGGTAATAACTAATGAAAGACTATTAATATAATCAACTGAAATTGTAATTAATTATGGAGATCAATTCTATTTATAGTCTTATATAGTAACATTAGGATTGAGGACTTCTTTCCTTCTGAAATAGTGTGAATAAACCTGACAATTTTGGTTCTCTTCATCTCCTTGAGTATTTTATAATTGACTAATGAGCTTTGATGATTTGGTACCAGCCCAAGTTCCCTTCCAAGAAGGGAAAGGCTTCTGAGTAATGAGCTGCTTGTGGATTTCTTAGAAACCCAAGTTTTGGAAAAGGCTTTGGCAGAGATGGTCTATTGCCATCCCCTACCCCATTTAGACGCTATCAATACATTAGTCTACTTTTCAGTAAAGACCTGGATCTAGTGGACTTCTTTTAGCAGCTCTAGTTTCTTTAGGCAGAAATGGACTGTGGATTTCATAAAAGCCCTAGTTTCCTTTATGAGTTAGGACAAGGGACGTAAGGATTAGGAGAGATGGACTATGCCCAAGCCCATAGAGAGCATTTATCAGACTTAAATTATTCAAACTAAGCCAGTTTCAGCCCAAATTTTGTCATGAGAAAAGAAAAGGATCGGTCCAAATCTTCTCAAATTTTTTTATTAAGCGGCAAAGCAAAGGGCATTTGAACTTTACTCAACCTCCTAATGTATTTGAATCCTGACAACAAAGAGAGAAACACATCTTCTTTATTTATAGAGCCAATTTTTTTTATATTGGAATTGTGGAAAAAATATTACAGAAAGTGCTGATGCTTGAAAACTGAGCCTGCAAGTTATTCTATTTCATCTTGTTAATACGTGTTATGTCCCTTCCTATTAGCAAAGACAATATTCTATCCTTCCTATACTTATGGAAAGTATGATTCTTTAATTGAACCGGCAACTGAAGTTTTGAAGCAGATACCAAAATTTCAACATGTTGTTAACATTTTCTGTGGCATACCTGGGTTTTTTACTCTATTTTCACCCCATAAATTGTATATAATTTTCTCATAAACCATTTGCTCTAGTTTCTTGAATAGTTCATTGAGATGATTCGTCTCTTGTTTACACTTGTTTCTGCTGAAATGGCTCTTGTTTTGGTACTTCTATTCAGGTCTCCTCTAAGGAACCTGGTGATCAAGGTAATGGACAAGATGAAGGAAGGGAAAGGCCCAGTGATTTCAAAGACTGTTGCAGGAACTTTGTTTGTTGTGTTTATCTCTATCTCGTACAATGTAATGGAGATCCAAAAACGGTCATTGGAAGGGGGTGTTCTCAATCCAACTGATGAAGTTCTTATGGCAAATCGAATTTTGGAAGCATCCCTAATGGGTAACTCAAAATCATCAACTTAATTTAATTTTCCTAAGATGTCTGAACTTTGAGTTTTTAACTATGTATAACAAGTTTATGAAAGTTTTGATACTTGGAATCTTTATTACTCAGACTCAGAGATGAGTATCGGGTAATGGGTATGCTTGGAACATGGATATATTTAATTTTTTTTTCTAAATTTATATATATAGATTCGATCTTTGTATCATATCCATAGAATATTTTTAAAATATAGGTACTTCAAAAAAAAATCTTAGTATAGCTTAGAACTGCAAAATCTAACACAAATTTAAAATGCTAGCCAACAATCAGTACTTAATTTCAATAGGTTGTGTAGAAAACATGTACATGGCTTCCAATTATGGTAAAAGTAAGCTGAAATTAGACTTCGAATTGGGAAATAATTATTGTCTGAAAGGGCTCTTTACTAGCTAATCTGAATTGCTTCATGGAATTAGCCAATTGCAGCATTCGATCTTACATGCAATGAAAATAGTCAGCGGACACAATTGATCTACCATTGATTTTAGAGTCTGGAATTATCAGCTCAAAGGTTTAATTTTTGAAAAATAGCCCCAATTGCCCTTTAACGTCTTCTAACTTTGATATTAAAGGATTATATAACATATTTCAGGGTTTGCTCTATTCCTTGCACTGGTTGCATATAGATTACACTACTGTATCAAAGAGCTTTATCCGACAACGAGGAGAACATCGGAGACAGCTGAAGAAATGAAACTAAAGCCAGATTTAAAGCATCATGATCTTAAAGAACACCCAAAGAGGGCAACAGCTTCAAGATGAACAATTGATGTTTAAACCTAGAGGCATAAAGATGCCTGAAAAATTAGTGTCCCCTATGATACTCTCTTGCTTCTGGTAGCCTAATCTTTAGGCTTGGGTTACTTTGAAAAGCAGAAATATGAACATGTCTAAGACATGGTCATATGTTATGAACTGCTGCAATTGTAATTGCTTAAATTATATGGCTACACAGTTTATTACTGTTGTCTGATGATCCTGCTAACTTTGGTCTATCTAACATATCATGAATCGAAATTTCTTTTTCATTTTCGATTCATTAATTCTCAGAATTTGAATGAGTTTTACCCTGAGACTGGAAAACTGGTCTGCAATGGACCCAAACCCTTCAGCTGATGGTTTCAAAGATGATAATTTTTCAACTTTCACAGCCTGGATTATGTTACCAGGCTTTTCCATGGTTCTATTACTCATATTATTATTATTATCAAACAATGCTTTTTTTCTGAATGTGAAAGGGTAATAATACCTAGTCTTTTCAAGTAATTCATCACCCACCAAAGAAGAAATGATGACATTGTAAATGGCTAATGCTGAGTCTTCATTTCTCCATCAGTTGACTCAAACAAGAATTGGCAAACCCTAACCTTGTTGGTCTCTCCAACTTTTTGCACCTAAAAGCCTCTTCTTTCTTTTCACATGGGAAGTTTCGACTGTCATCACGTAAGACTGAGAGGACTTGACCTTCCTGATAACCCGGCTTTGTTACAACTTAAAAGTCATTGCCCGATACAATAAAATAATGGAGTCAACCCCCCATTCCAGTCTCCCTCAAGCACCCAATGCTTCACTATCATCAGCTTTTCTATAAGAGACTGATGCAATTAATCAAGATCAAGGGAAAACTAGGTGCAATGTTTTGGACTTTGGACTTTTTAATTTTCCACCAAATACTCGTGTATGACACATATCGGACGGACATGGATATAAAGATTGAATGTCCAAAAACATAACCCTCACTAATTGGACATTTGTTTTATATACTTATAAATCCTTATTTTATATAAGGTTTCTAATTTGGCAAAGTACAGCAATAATGAACTGCCATATGATTCTTGTAATTGGTGAGGGAGGTAGGCATATGCATTTGCCTGGGAAGGGAATATGCTAAGATCAATTATGACTGATACCCAACCCACAAAGGTAAAGAGAAGACAAGGTTGACTTCTTTGTTATCTTATCTACCCAAGCCTTTAAGTCTCCTCTGTTCACACAAACAAGTGTGAACATCGAGAATAGAGGCTGATGATTCAGTTGATGACTTTGTTCAAAACTCATACTTTTCAAAACTGCAACAAAGAAGTTGATCGCCGGCCGGACATTTCTGCCAGAAAAAGGAAAATTTGGAGAAATTAACATGGAAAATAGGAACATGAATCAAAGATGACAGATGGGATTGGAATAGAACAAGAATTTTCATTTACTGTCTCAAAATTGAGATTGTCTAATACAAAGATATCATCTGTTACACTGTCAAATGACAAAATACTGCTAAAAGTAATAATATTTTCTGTAGGATTTTCTAAGAAGAAATCATCATCTAAGATGAAGCTTTCAATTTCAAGTTCTTCTTCAAAAGAATCCAGGAATGATGGAGTTGTAAATGAAAATTCATCTTCTACTATAACATTGCTGTCATCAGAACATTCCTTTTTTTCTTCAATGCCACTGCTTCTAACTGTGATCCAATCTTCAGTCCTACTCCAATTGGAAGCTGGTGACAGATCAGTGCCTTGAAGCAATTTCTTGATCCTGTCAGTCGGAGAATTCAAGGAAAGCTCCTTAGGAATCAAATTCTTAGGAGTTTCCACCACATCGAGTGAATCCCAGAAACCTTGATCCAAGACGGAATTTGGAGAATTCATGGTAGATTCCTTTACTTCCTTCAAAAGGGTATCTGATTCTTCCAAAAATGGATGTTGAAGCAATTCTTTAGCTGTCCATCTCTCCTTTGCATCTCTCCTCAAACACTTGCCAAGAAAATCCTTACCTTTCTCAGATAAACACTTTGGAATCTCAGGTACTTCACCTGAAAATCCAATCTTATAAAGAGCTGACACTGGATCATTCAGCTCCGGCCATGGCGAATTCCCAGTACCCATCTCTATAATTGTACATCCAAGAGCCCATATATCAGCTTCAAAGCCCTGTTCCTCCCCACGTGCCACCTCTGGTGCCATGAAAGCCGGTGTACCGGAAAATGCTGACGTGTCAAAACCTTGATTATCACCAACTTTTCCCATCAATTTAGCGCAACCAAGATCAGCAATATTTGCACCTTCTTTACCTATCAAAATGTTTTGGCTCTTGATGTCACAATGTACCACCCCATTAACATGAAGATAATCCAAACCTTGTAAAATCTGCTGACTATACAATCGAACTTTCCCTTCATCCAATCTTCCTCCAACCCTTTGAATTTCCTCGAAAAGCGTGCCACCGGGAACATACTCCATGCAGAGATTGTACATAGGCTGGTTACATGTTTCATTTGTAACATCATAGCCTATGTACTTAACTATACGAGGACAGCTTAATTTGGACAACAAATAATTCTCCCTTTGTAAGAACATAGAGTGACATAACTCGGTGGACTTAACGGCGAAAACCTCGCCGGAAGGGATTGCGGTGGCTAGTGAAACGGTGGCGGTGGCGCCACGGCCTATGGCAGGTCCTCTAATCCACTCCATTAGAGGCACACCAAGAAACAAAGAGAAAAAAAAAATGTTGGGGCTAATATTGATGCTACGGCATGCAAGAAAACGTGTAAATATATATAAACTTTGGGGGTACCTTTGGTTTTGGCGACTAAATCCAAAGCATATGCAACAAACTGGGGAAAGATTCTTGATGACAAAATTCTGTTTCTTACTTTGTCAGACTTGGGTTTTTTTTTTCCTTTGAGTTCATAGAGCTAGAATGTACCAGGTGGCAAGATGTGAACGCCTTTGTTTGACAGCTCTGACCGCCTATGGACGGCGGTTGCTTAAGCTTGTAATAAAGCCGTTCACATGACGACACATTAGCACGTGCCGAGATTGCAGTGTTAATCACATATTATTGGTTAATTAATCCTTAATTGCGGTTTTGATTTTTGCGGCGCAAAGGCGATTAGTCAACAGTTAAACTGTTAAAGTGTGAACCTGAGTTGGATTTTTATTTTTGTTTAGCTTAATTTGCAAAAGAGATTTTATTAAATTTAATAATTTTAAATACGATATAATTATATAATATAATAAATATAAAAATAATAATTTAAAATTTTAATAAAAATTTTATATAAATTTAACAAATATCATTATTTGTTATGTTTAACGTGTTGGTAAAATTATCATACGATAATTTTAATATTTTATATATATTTAATATAAAAGAAATATAATATAAATTAATAGATCTAATGTGAATACAAATTAATTGGATAGACTTGAATGTGAATACATGCATGAATCATAATTTATAAATGTCTATGTCATTTGTGCTTGTTAAGTAACTTAGTAAACTGTTAATTGATTTAGAGTTTAGAAAAGTTATTAAAATGATGTGAAAGATGCTGTTTTAAATTATTGTTAAATTATTCAAAGCTTATCTCGTTCATGCATCCATGCTTCACCACCATTAAAAAAGTTTAGGGATTTATAGTAATTTGAGCATTTGACCCTTCCCTTCAAGGGTGATATTTAAAAGTAAGTTATTTGGTTTTTATATTACTTGTCGATATAAAAATCTTACATTGTAAAGAACATTAGATTTATAAATATTTTGAAAAAAAAAAAAGAAGAAAGATTTTAAATTCTATTAAATTAAATGCTCGGATGTTAAATTTGTAAACTTTTAGTCGAAAAAATAATTATATTAAATTGTAAAGAGAATTCAATGCAAAAGTTTTCACATTAAAAAGTAAAAATAATGAAATTTGAAAAACGTACTCTATCTGAATTATTTTTTTGTCAATTTTTTTATATCTCAAAATTATATCTTATTGCTTTTTAACATTTAAAATTCTTACTTTTTTATATTTAAAAATTATCTTTTATAATTTTTTTTATTTTTTAATATTAAAAATCATGAAATTTTAATTTTATAAAAGAATTTTAAAATTTAATATTAAATAAATTAAAGTCAATTTTTTTAAAATTTATTAAAATCAATACATAATAAATATTTGAGATGAAAAGAATATGCAAGTTTTTTTGTTATTATTATCGAAAGTAAGAGTTGAATATTATATATTTTGGAATTATTTAAAGATATTTGAAGTAATCTTACCGTTGTGTCAAACTGTCAACTCTTTTTTTAAGTTAAGTTATTGCCTAAAACTTGTAAGCCTTCATGTACAAGAAATAATTGAATGTACTGATTTGGAGGCTGTGGAGATACTCGTTCCACACCCATACTTTGCAATGTGAAATAAACAAAACCTTTTTGGCCCAAAAACGTGTCGTTAGCTGCTCCAATGGCCATGAAATTGAAGAGTTGGCCTATTGATTGGAGGAATCAAAGCAAAAGTAAATAAGCCTGCAAAAGAGGTTGCAACCAACATCAACAAAAATTAAAGTTAAAAAAGATTCACCAACTGTTTTTCCATGGCTGGAAAGTTGGGTTTGAGTCAGAACTTGATGACTGTAAATCAGATGTATGGAAAATTTTCGATTTGGATCAAACATTTGAGTGATGTTCAAGCAAATTCCAAACTGTGAAAGCCAACTTTTTCTTGAAATTGGGGGTTTTTAAGTGACCCCAAATTCCATTTCTAAGTTCAAAACCTTGTCTCCTTTTGATTGAGAATAGTGGGAGGGTCCTTTATTTGCATTTTGCTTAGGCTCTTTCAGCTTGTCGGTGCTGATGTTCTTTACTGGTTGCTGCCAGTCCTTTACAGCTCACCCTTTACAGCTAGGTTCACCAGGTGAAACATGAATTGGACCCATTTACTTTTATCAGAATTTGGCAGAGACCAGCAGTCCCACCTCCAATCTTCCTCTTTTTGTCACTTTCTTATCTATTAACCTTAATTTTAATCCCAAATTAAATCAAATCAGAATCTAGTGAATACAAAAAAATATTCGAGTTCAAAGTCCAATCATAATCTGTTATTAGAAGTATGATCTAAATTTGATTAAATTTTAATTTTTAAATTCAAATTTAATTCAAAATAAGATTCAAAATATTTGATTTCATTCTATTAAATTTATTTAATAAAAATAAATTCACTTTTTATGTTCAAAAGTTCATTATAAATTCAAATTAAAACTCAAATTCATATGTAAAAAAGTAAAATAATAATTTTTTAAATTAAAATAATAAAAATATATTAAAATTTAAAATTTAAAATTTAAAATTTTAATTAAATTCACGAATTACTAAAATAATATATTAAAATACTCTAACTCAATTTTAACAATAAATCAAGTTATTTAAATTTAAATTCAATAATAACTAAATTAAATTTAAATTTTATCCGTATAAAACTTAAATAACTTACAAATAACTTATAAATATTGATATATTATTTACACCCTTAAAATAATATAACTTATAAATATTGATATATTATTTACACTCATATATTAAATAAATACAAAACTCTTAATTTTAACTACTTTAATATGATTTAATCTTTGCAGTTCAAAATTTTTAATTTTAACTGCATCCAAACATTTAACTAAATGATTAAAACAAAATTTCCAGCAAAACTCAAATTCTTTTCCAAATAAAAATATTCCCTTAATTTTAGTCGCTTAATAATGATGGTTCATTACCTATTTTGGTCTGGTTGTACTAACCAAAACTGAAGCGAACTCAACGATTAACTACTAACAATGCACTTCAATTAATAATCAAAACAGCTCACAATAATCAATATGCTATCCACAATTTTAGTATAGATAAATTTGTGTTTAATTATGACCTACTTTGCCAGTTTCTTCTACTTGGATTCGCTAGCTCATGTTCATTCTATTTCTCCATGAGAATTGTTTACGACCCTCCTCAAGACTGACAATTCAATATGACAGTTGGACATCCAAACCTTATCTGATTATAATCATTGTTCCAATTAATGTAATCATTGATTTTTATTGAACATAATTCGTTTCTACTCTATTATTTGAACAAATCTCATTTCGTTACGCTACAAAATTAAAAAATTATGAGCTTAACTTCGTTTTTCCTACAGTTAGAAAAACTGACCCGAAATTGAAAAGCTTACCTAAGCCAGCCGAATTTGAACCAGATCCAAACTAATTTAATCAGCAAAAAATCAACAGTTCAAACCTGTTCAATCCAAACCTGAATCGACGCAAACTAAATAAATTCGAAGCTAAAACGACTCGAATTTTCTTATACATAAATCATATGGGTTCATTAAGTGAACATCAAAATCACCCATAAATCCATCCTTTAATCATGCCAGCCATCCATTCATTACACTAAGCTGGCAAATATGTCTAACCAACATCTAAGTACCTGACTGCAATAATTTTAATGATTAATCAATTCTTCTAGATGAGAAAAGAATTACTACATCAATTTGCAAGCCTCATATCCTGCAACATTGAGCACTCAACCAGATTGCAAAGTACATGAATGATTAAACATACTTAAGAATTATCAGGAACTACGTACCTTTCCAGCAAGAATCGCAAAGTTCAGCATTCCGAGTTCAAGTAGCTGCGAAAGTCATCTTAGCTTGAATAAAAGCTAAAATCAGTTGCACCATTATACTATTATAGGTAATTATCGATCACGGGAAATTCTTTCTTAATCAAAGTGCATCACAAGCAACAATCTAGTGAAAACTCACAGATCATGTTGCACATATATTTACATGTAATTATCATTTGATACTTAATTCCACACATTTTAAGAGTACTACTAGCACTGCATTAAACTAAGGTGTTTAAATGTAAATAAGTTTCGCTTATGCAGCCTCAGCAAATCCAACTTGCATGTTCCCATAGTCAAACACTGTATGGAACTGGCCCATAAAGACGTCGCCCAGGATCCTGTATATCAATGAATATTATTATAAAAGTATCAAATATTTGCCAGCCTAAAAGTAGACATCTAATGCGAATATAATAAATTAATTGTAGACAATATAATTATCCTTGGATGTATATGTGGTCAAGTATAAAGAATACCAGAGTGGTCCGCGAGGAGGTGGTACATCCAGAGCAGTGAATCCACTTATGCATTGAGCTATATCTCCCTCGCCCACTTTCAGGACATACTGATTTCCCATAACCAAAAACGGGAGAGGTCAGCAACAAAGAGAGAATCAGTGGACACTAACATCCCATTGCAGCCAAATCAGCTGACTTAAATTCATTAATTAGACCTACCCAAACCTATAGATAGATAATTATTGATAACTGTGACGGTACTCATTACTGGAGCAAAGTAATGTGATAAACATGTTGATCATGAATATCATCAAAGGAAAAGGCCAAAATACCTTAAACAAATTCAGCCTAATACATCATACCTGCTCAGGGGTGAGCTCAAATATCTTTCCACCTATTGTGAATGAAACATTAGGCATAGAAGATAGACTGTTACAATCAACAACTGATTCTCCCATTGGACTAGGCAACCGATCACAGAGCTGCAATTATCAAGTTGGGAAAAAGTAAGCCCCTAGTCGAACTTGCCAAAATATACTAAAAGATTGAAGTGGAGGCCCATTTACCTCATTCACATAGTCTAGTATACCCTCCTGTGTCTGGTTCTGCTTAAGTTGGTTTTGCATCCATATAACTGCCATCCCACAGACGGAACACATTGCATCACGATAATTGCTAGAGGCTTTTCCAGCATTCTCATTCACAACGCTTTCAATCCCCATACTGAACATGATACATTTAAAAAAATCAGTGAGCAACAGAACACATTCATTCAAAAACATAAACAAAAATTTCTAAGCTGACTGATTTGAGTTAAAGTGACAATTTCACTTAAGAAACAGGGGAAAAAGAAAAAAAGAAAGATTTTTTGTCCAACCTTACACCTCGAGTTCCATCAAAGGTGCACAAACCTATTTGTGAGCAAATTTTCAGTGGCTGATCCTGTCAATGCATTATAATAAGAACACTAATTAGGAAGTCCAGCAAGAAACTACCAGAATCTAATTCTAACCACCTCCAGATTCCATGTAGCTGCATTGCAATAAAAGCATGTTTAAAACCAATCATATACCTTTCCTAGTAGCATATCTATTATCATTTCTCCATATTGTGAAACTACAGCCTTGCATTCTTGACTTACAACCCCTGATGCTCCAATAGCATGATTGACTTGAGCAATGATGGCCTGAAAATGTAGTATAAAAGGTAAAATCACCAATGAATGATCATGACAGACAAACTATTTTTGGCAGCAAATAGCCAATGCAAGCACAGGGACAGGGTCAATGTAATGAATACCATTAGCCCTCCGTCGAACGGTTATAATCACAGATATCTATAATCAGAATATCTGACTAAATATCAAGGTAACATATACCAAGAGCCCTGAATATTTTGCTCTTACTATATCAATGTCATTAGAGGGATAAGCTGGAATAAGCACGTCATAAGACATAAGACAACCTTAGGGCTTATAGAGTGAAGCTTAATTGTCTAACAAACAATAGCAACATCCTTAAAGGGAAGGCAACAAATATTGTCATTTCGGTCATTAATAAGAGCACATGTACATCAATAGAATTGTTTGGAGAAAGGAAAGAAGTGCAACTATATGCCAGGAAGTGTTAGTTAAAGAAGAGCTTCTGTCACAGGTGAAATGACACATCCAATGTTTCAGGGATAAACTATCATAGAAAGGACAAAAACATGGTTTACAACAACCTTGCCACACAAGCACAGCTTCACAAGCATGCATGCATGCATAAATAGACACAAATATTAATACAAACCGTGGGACCAGTCAACAAGGAAGTCCCAGAATCTGCAATAGCACTGCAGCCACTGGCACAAAATCCTGAAACAGGTATAAGAAAGTAAGGAAACCAATAAATGACTACAAAACATTTGTGTCCCTTATCTTATCAATTATGTTTATCCTGTTAAGCATAATACATTAAAAATGTGTACAATTATCTTAATAAGATAACTTTGAGGACAATTTCTCACCAGTTGTTTGGTTACCAATCAGGACATCACCCAAATCAAACTGCACACCAGAAGAAACAGTAGCATTAATAAAATGAATACATGAAGTCAAATATTAGATAAAACACATTGGAAGTTTAGAATCCTAACCTGCCAATATCCCTTCCTTGTTACAGGAACATAAGTGTGATCCCCCTTGTAATGTTTCGGATCCACCCCGCCAAAAACCACTTCTCCTCCTACATCATCCTCAGGATTGCGGTTAAACCAAAATGAAAAAACCGGTTCCTTAACAAGACCTTGATTGACCATATTGTACCTGGAGCACTTACATAATCAATATCCTAGGCGATGGTAGTTGCATTAATTCTTACACAACAAACATCTTATGCCAACAAACTGAAACCAACAAACCAAAAGAGCATATAAAACATAAAAAGTGCTATTGCATACCACACAGGCACAGCATTTCCAACTGAAATCTCTTGGAATCCAAGTCCAAGTATACCATCAAACTTGGCAACCAAAAATGTTATGCTGGGCTCTCTTGTTGCCTCAATAAATTCCTAAACAGATAAAGAAGAAAAAGTAACTCGTTCAGAAACACATACCACCAACAACAGCCATGTCAAGGAGTTACAGCTCAAACATATGTAATAAACAATTTAATGAATATACCTGAATTTTAACTACAAGATCACCAACTGTTACATGGTCCTCACTAAAGAATCCAGAAATAGCTCCACTGCCGTATTGGATATCCGCAGGTTTACCTGCAAATAGACTCATTAAAAGAGTATATGCAGGCATCTACTTCATTGTCCTCACTTTGACTAAAATAAACAAGGATTAATAATTACATCCTTCCTGTTAACCTTATCCAAGTTTTCTCAGTCAAAAGCACAAGAGGACTGACTAATTATGCATAACAACAAACACACGAGTTTTCCAAATGGAGCAAATGGGGCATATATTAACCAAAAAAAAGCAGTTAAAAAATTGCAAAAAAGAATAAAGTAAATAACACCTAAATTCAACTACTGCATTTGCTCTCAGTGACATTTATAGATTGATCAAAAGATAATAACAGGTTTATAAGTGGATAATCAAGATGTCATAGATTTCAGGAATGCTAGAATGAACCAAGAAGCAGAAACAAACCATTAGCCTTGTAGGTACGTGAACGGCTTGATTTATATCTTGAATGGAGATAGCAAGTTATCTGTACCGAGACACCAGCAACATGTAAGAAATATTCCAAATCAGACAAGTCCAATTCTTAAGCACTCCAATATCAATTTTAAGAAACCAAACTTACCGAGAAATAACACTTAGATGAAGGCACCCACAAATTAGAACTACCAGTGTCAAAAATCACAGTGAAATTCTGTGAAGGAGTGCCGATACCAATCTCACCAAAGTACTGCGCATCCAAGTAGTTCTTTAGTGCCACAATATCAATGTCCTCTGCTTCCCGTAAGTTCCCATGGAGATGATGCTGTCTAAGAGAAGCTCTCAATGCCTCTCCCTCCTTGGAATCAAGGTGAGCAGCCAACCGATTGTTTCCATCAAACTTTCTCTTTTTGAGTCCAATTCTAAACAATCTGCCATTGGGTGTGGAAAAGACGATAGGAAATAGAAGAAGACAAAGAAAAAGAGTGACAGTAATAGTTGTCACTATTGTACCCATTCTGATAACTGCGAGTCTGCAATTGTAAGGTAACATGACAAAGATTTAATCAGATATGATTAGAAATACAAATGGCAAAGCTGCAATAATATGATATCAACACACAGCTAGAAATAGTTCCTTCACACAAAACCTAGCACACCAGCCACTGTTTGCCTAAAGAGTGACAAAACCATCTTCAGTTCACTTAAGCCTAAAACATCTATTCAAATAATGCTGCCATGTAATATTCTATCCCCAACTGTAAATGGATCTGCCCAAGTTTTGTGACAACATCATGTCCATTCCATGCTTTTTATTATTGAATTTTTCATATCAAAAGATTGGTCACTGAGAAAACACAGCACACGTATACATAAACACATCTACAGCATAAATAATCAAAGCTAAGTGGAATCTTACTTAAAGTCAAATAGTTACTCTACACTTAAATTAATTGAAAGTAAGTAGTATCTATATTATACCACGTGTCCAACACTGGAAAATTTTTCATGTTTGGTTGACGATAAATGGGTGGAAATAAATATCTATCTACTTAAAACTTCGAAAAAAACATCGTAAACTTGATAAAATTGAATATTGAAGTCAAAGGGATCTCATCAAATTCAAATAGTTAACTTTCACTTTTCTCAGGTTCCAAACGCTATAAATCTCAACATATCTCATCAACCAAACAGAAAACACAACAAAAACTACCATAAAGTTAATGAGAATCCGAACTTCAAAATTAATACGGTCAACTAAAAACCAATATCAATCAAAGTCAAACAGTAGATCTTCACTCAATTCCTTTTTAAAGGGAAGTTCAGTTTTCTATGATCCCAAACACTAAGTATCACAAAAAAAAAAAAAAAAGCAAAATTACTAAAAAAAATTCACAAAAAAAGTAATCAAAAGCAGACATAATAAAAAAAGCTTCTTACATTTTTTGATGATTTCAAGAAGAAAAGGCAGAGCAGAAAAATGAAGTGAAAAGCAGAAACGACGAAGATATTTTTATATTCCTTTAGTGGTCTCCACTCTCTTATTTATTTTGAAAGCGAGGGAGTGTTGAATTAGCGGGTTTCTTGGAGAATCATATCCGTACAAGTAAACACGTGTACGGTGGATACTATTTTAAAATTTGATTGCTTTTTCTTGTCGAATAAAAATTTGAGAGTTTGATCCAGTGCGGATGTGTATATAAGGATATTGATAAGGAAGGGAAAGCACACCGTTGGATGAAGCCAGAAAGTTTAGAGGGTAGTTCGAGATGGTAGATCGGGTAAGACAAGAAATAAATAAAGAGGATAACGTTTTCAGATTTTTTTCTAAATAATTGCTTTTGGGTTGTTCTTCATAATTGCTTTCCGAGTGTACTTATGGGTCGATACATACTAAATGGGCCAAATTCAAGACCTTTAAATTATTGCCCTTTGTTATTTTGTGAACAAAAAAAATGTATTTAATAAAATGATATATATATATATTATTTTTTTAAATATTAAAAATAAGGCATGTATTAATCTGTTAACTTCACGAGGTTAAAAAATATATATAATATATAAAAAATGAATTAAAAAAAAAAAACTAGACCATTTAAATACTTTAAGATTTGATTTAATAAATATTTATTTTCCTTTTATTTTAAATAGATGGTTAAGCTTCAAAACTCTAATTTTTCTTAGCTTACCTTAATATTAATATGTTCATTTTTTTAGTAAAATGAAATTAAATTCAAATTTAATAATTAAATTATTAATTAATATATTAACAATGAAAATTTTTAATTTTATAAACAATTTCAAAAAGTTACTTATTAATTTAAAGTATATATTTAAAAATTAATTAATTAATTTTATATATATATATATATATATATATATACACACACATACACCGGCAAGCTTTGGAATTCTTTATTATTCAAGTAGACAAGAAACTCACTTATTCATTATCGTTAAAAAGCCAAAAATAATTGTGCCATTCGAATTTACTCTTATAAGGAAACTAAAAAATATTACACAGATTGCGCTTATTTTTGGGTACTCTTATTAAGGCAACATGAGATAAAGGGTAGTGTTTTAAATAATAAAAAAAAAGTTTATTGTTATGAAAGGTTATCGAAAATTAAATATGAATTTATTTGTAAGATTGACAAAGCAATATGAAATTGGAGATGTACACCAAGAGAAAAAGGGCATTAAGAATGTAAGTTTTGAAATATTCTGATAATATTATAAACAAAATTGAAGCTGCATGTCATGATTGATCTCTTAATTTTAATGATAAGTATAAAATTTTTTATAATTTCAAATATAATAAAAAAGTTAGATTTAAAAATGATTAATATCATGAATGATTTTTTAAAATTAAAAATTATTTAATATATTATTTAAATTTAAAAATTATTTAATATGATATTTAAATTATAAATTTATTAATTAATATTATATTTGAAAGATTATTTATCTGTTATGTGTTATCATTTGAAATTAATTATATTAAAGATAAACATCATATTAATAAATATATTTATAATTTAAATATTATATTAAAATTATTTTTAAAATTTATATATCATATTAAATATTTTATTATATCTTAATAATTCTTCGCGACTATTTTGAACAAAAAAATGTGGGTGAGTGAACGTTACTATCTTCTTCCCTATAATTGGATTGGGCCAAATTTGAAATTATTAAATATGACAAAACGGCCTGCTTCACATTAACAAAGGGCTGAAGCTAGTTCCAAAGCCCAATCAAGCAAATCAAAAACCAACCAACGGAGGCCCAATACAAAAAAATCCTCCCTACTTTAATTTTTTTTTTCATAAAATTATGTTATCAGTTGATAAAATATTAAATTGTTAGTTTCAGTAACAAAATTTCAATTCTAAAAACCTTAAATATATATATATATATATAAAGAATTCAAAATTTTAAAATAAATAAAAATACACAACAAATCGATAAGAAGAGAAAAAAAATTTTCTTTTAGATTTTGATAAGTCAAATCTATTATCCATAATAAAAGTCTAATTTTAGCTATAATTATTTCCAAATTTTATCTATATATATATTTTTTAATAATTTTTTACTAATCAAGGATAAGGAAAAAGGCAAAAAGAAAGGCTTACTCGAGCTACAAGAGATAAGCATGCTTTTACTATAGTTACTTAAAATCCTTGAATTTTTCCCAAGAGAAAATTTATTATGGGACCAAGAAAATAAACACTATTTTGATTTTGCAGGATAATTGATATTACTATTCATATATAAAACTTAAATTGACAAAGAAACAAGAAAAAATGATCCATATATATAGTAGTTTAATTTGGTCATATAGGGTATAGATTGCTTTGAATTGTCACATTGGAATCTACCGATTCTAAATTGGATTTTCTATAACTTACATTATGTTTGGTAGGAAAGAAGGAAAATGGAAGAAAAGGAAAAAGATAAGGAAAGAAAATGGAATGAGAGAAAAAGGAAAGTTATTTTTTTATTCATTGTATTTGGTATATAGAGAAATGATTGTATGAAATAGTAATGTCATTCAAATCATATCATATAATTACATATTAAAAAAAATCAATAATTTATTATGCATCATTTGTGATAATTAAACAATGAATATTAATTTTAATAAATTAAAATTTTTAATAATAAATAATTAATTTTTTAATAATGTGATACATACCATATTTGAATTAAAAAAAATTCTAACATGACGTAACTGTTCGTACAATATTTTCTTTTGGTATATATATGAAGGATGAAAAATAGAGGGAAAAAAGGGGGATAAGGGTAAAATTATAAATATAATTATTAATTTAAATTAAATGAGTGTTTTATTCTTATATTAAGAAGGATTGAAATTGAAGGAAAAAAAAGTACAAATTTACTCATTTTACTTTTCTCATCTTTTTTTCCCCCACCAAATCAAGAAAAGGATTAAAAAAAATTGTTTTTTTTTTTCAATTCTATCCTCTTTCCCTCTTACCAAACATAAACGTAAGATTCTGATCCCAATTCCCAACTAATGATATAATTTACCCTATCTAAGTATGAAATTAGGCTTGTAATTTGCTTGTTTTTGTATATGAAAAGCCTAACATGGGAATAGGTCGGCCATTACCACCAGCCTGAGCCTGAGCCCAATTAGCCTAAATTGCACCATCTATTGCCTAATGTTGTTAATGTTAATTATGAGTCCAATGCAATTAGCTAGTAAAGTCAATTTGAAAAAGAGCAAATTTTAATGTTAATTATGCACCCAATGTGTCTAAATTTCTAGCCAGTAAAGTCAATTGAAAAAGACAAAAACTTTCCTGCATAAAGACTAGCTTACTTCATATATTTTTTGCTTTTATCAATCAAGAATCAACATGTTTTACAATAGTTTAATGCCCTTCTTTAAATGGTTCTCTTTTACATCAAAATGTTTATAATATACCATAAATCTCTTTTTCCTTTGATATGGGGGATAGAAATGATTCGAATTTTGTTCTTTGAACCATGGATCATATATCATCCCGAAAACTAAATGCTCAGATGAACCATAACTCTAATTATGTATACCTCATTTTTATTATGATATTTTTGTCGATTTATATCTTAATCCTACAAATAAAATGATTTGACCAAAAACTCAAAATTGTGCGAATTTGTCTTTAGCGTGAAAAAAAAAAAAAAAAAAAACCCTACTTGCCATCACAAAAGAAGCTAAAATGAAGCTATTGAAATTAATGTTATTCAAGCTTATACCTGCTGAAGATAGTGTGACTTGATACCTCAATTTCTTGGTCCCCTCTTAGAAACCAACATATAAGCTAGAAACCCTACAACTACAAGGCCTGCCCCGATCTACTACTTATTAATCTGACCTAAAGAAGAGTGTGTCATTTTCCTTAGGGCATGCATGCAATTCTTGGATAAATCTCAGGTGTGAGAGGTTGACTGTATACCTTTCATTTACTCCAACAAATTTTATATATAGTAATATTACTCATATTGATGGCTTAAAACATGTTTCAAAAAATTAGGAAAACAAGCAATAATTCATCAATTTAAAAAGAAATTTCATGCAAATGTGTTTTAACTTCTTGACATAATGGTTTATTCATGTTCCCCTTTAAAAGAAAGTTAAGGTTTTAGTTTTCAACCTAAGCTCATTACTGGGCTGTGACATAATTTTAGCTTCTAAATATTTTTAAAAAAAATGGATTGGGAATATGTACCATTTACCTTGTGATCATGAAATTAAATTTTAAAAATTCGAGTTTGAGATTGAATTGTAGAGTAAACCAAAATAAAAAGGAAATTAACTTTGATAGAATATTGAAAAAAATTTGTTCTGACTTCAAAATATAAGTCTTTGGAGAACATTAAGAAAATGGGCTTTAATTTCTAAACCTAAGTTTATATATAACAATCAAATATATAGACCTAGGTTGCATTAACTGGTAATAAAATTAATTTAATTACTAGCTAGAACTCTAATAATACTTGAATTTTTCAACCATTGGGGAAGAAATTAATGTTCAATTTCAAAATTTAGGCTGTTAGTTATGTTTATCAAACTAAATTTTAATTATGAACGAAAGTTTGTACTAAGAAATTGAGTTTTTAGCGACATCTTTTTTATTGTTCACGAATGATTATAAATGTCGGTAAACAATCGACAAAATATAATAAATTTAAGATGTATATAGTCAAAAAGAAACATAGCAAGACTTTGTGAAATATTGGGATAATTCATTGTAGCTAACTGATAATTATTATTAATATAATTAGTAATTCAAATATTATATAAAATATATATTTATTTAATGCAAAAAACATTAACTCTTGTCAGCCTTCGCATGAACCAAGATACATGTAAGTAACATAAAACCCTAGAACATTACATCCTTCTAAAAAGTAGACCACTTTTCTAACAAAAAAAAAAAAAGTTACAAACTGCAAATTAAAAAAAAAATACATTAATTTTCTAACAAAATGTTCTTTTTTTTTTTTTTAATTTAAGTATTGTTGTTGTCTCCGTTGTTTCTTGAACTTGTGCTATTGTTATTATTACCACTGATGTCTCTCTGAGAATTGCCTATAATGGAAGTAATGGCTGCTACTAGAGCTGCAGTGAAGTTGGGATCAGTGATGGCGGCAGCTGTGGCGGCGGAATCAGCCATGGAATGTGGCTGCATTTGATTTTGAGCTAAATGGGGATGTTCAGTTCCCTGAGAGGTAAAAAGAGTACCCAAAACTTTTGGTTGGTTATAAATGGGGTGGCCAAGCAGGTGAGGCAAACTTGAAATGTTGTGAGACCAATTTGGAGGAGGGGGATGAATTTGGTTCAATGGCCTATGATTAGGGCCGGAGTAAGTAAGGTCCAATGTAACAGAAGGAAATGGAGCTGAAGCTGAAAGAGTGATCAAATTTGGTGAGCAAGGGAGCATTCCTTTTGGGAGGATGTTCGAGTTCATTATCCCATCTGCACTAGGCATTGATCCGGAAAGTAGCATTGATGCTGCTGCTGATGTAGTTGATGCCATTGCCATGGCAGCGGGAGGGAGTGGATGGTTATGATTACCTTCATATGTTGTAACAAGGATGGTTCGATCATCTGCACACCTTTGCACCTGTTAAATTAATGGAATTCAAGATCACTGCAATTCATGAGCTGTCAAGGGTAAAAATAAAAATTTGAATTATAAAGATGATTAGAATTTATACTTGTTTGCGAACCGAACAACCAGTAGCCATGGTGCAGCGGTAGTAAGCTCGAGGGCAAGGGTTTCCTTTTGCCATCTTCTGCCCATATTTTCTCCATTGACAACCATCAGAAATCTGCACCCATTGAATAAGTATTTAGCTTTGAATCTGTCTGGTGATAAATAAACTCCTATGAAAGGCAGTTATTATAGGGTTGTTGAATACTAGAATTGATGATCCCTAAGAAACTGATTTTAGTGACTTTCTGCAATAAATAAATAAAAAAAAAACCATAGCTAGCAACCTAAATCAATATATCAGTTTTATTAACTGAAAGACTGCTAATGACTTATTAAAGGCCAGGAGAGATTCTGAGAAGCCTAATTTAAGTAATCTTTTGCAACCAAAAAGTAGCAAAGAAAGGATAAAATAAGTTCATGAAATGGTACCATAACTTTACAACTTTTCCTACTGACTTTCTTAAAATCTACTTCAACAAAAGTAGGCGGGGGGTGCCAAGTGCCAACCTAAAATTGTGTGCTCACCGGCATGTTTTCTTACACGTGGGCGAGTTTAATTCTTGTGCTATATTACTTGTTAGAAGTAATTATCAAATACAACTGGAATACCATTAGTTTGTACTGATTTGAAGTATTCTTATTTCCTGAATTGCTTGATTCAAACAAAATTCTTGATTAATCTATTAAAAGCTTACCATTGACGCTTCAGATCGAGCTCGAACTGAGACACGAGCTTTTCTAATCATGGCCGTGGTCTCTTGTGCTTTTTCAACATCCCTTGAGGTATTGAACTTGGCAACTTTGTGAGATAACCATCCTTGATGAGATCGGCCTTCAGGGGTATCTTCTCTCTGATTTCTTCCAGGGTCCATTAAATCTTTCCTGCTTGGAATATCGCGTGGGATTATTTCATTTTTACCACTGTTTTTTTGTCTTCTTTCCATAGACTCAATAATGGAATTCCCAGGCGGTCCTGACAATTCCTGGAATCTACCCTCTGAAGAAGATTCTGAAAGCTCATCTTTTTCAGCCTTTGCAGCTTGTCCCAGATCCATGAATTGCCTTGCAACAATAGCTACTCCATGCCTTTTCTCTTCTATTGCGCTATTCATCTAATAAAATAGATAAAAAAAAAACACATATCTATCAGTTATTAATTATTACTATCGAAACTAGATAGAAACTGATCAAATTGTTTAGTTATGGTGTAATTCTGCCGCAGTTTTACCTCAGTATTCGCTTCTGAACCTTCAGCTGATCTTAGATTTCGTTGTCGTTGCATCAATGAACCAAGATGCATCTGTAAAGCGTAGTAGTTACTATTCATCTGATTTAGAGTAACTCTCAGACGTTGATTTTCTTCGTTTATTCGTTCCAGTTCAGCTCGAACATCTTCTAACTGCACCATGAAAATTTTCCTAATATTAGCATCCAAAATCCTCACAGTTTCAGCTATATGATCAATTCAAAAATGTGTTGTAAAGTCCAGTCATCCACACCTGATTTGCTCTTTGTTTCTCTTTCTGATTCTGTGATGTAATTATCCTATGATCACGAACTGATTTCTCACTTGCAGTATTAGTTGTCAAGAGATTTAAACCAGTCTAAAGCAAACAAAAGAAAATTAGTTTCAAGTAAATAGCAAAATAGGCTAATGAAAATTAAAAGACGAATGAGTTTGGTACGACATAATTCTCTTACATTTATATCTGCTTCTGGTTCATTATTCTCTTGCACCAATCCATGATGTTCACTTTCCATCTTCACATGATCATCATCAGCCTTGACTTGTGTTGTAGAAGATCGATTATTGGCGAAAAAGTCCATCTCGTTGACTACTCGTTTCCCATCTGATGATGATGATGATGATTGAACCAAAGAAACATGCTGGTTATCAACAGGATCCATGAAAACTTGTTTCCAGGCAAAGGGTTTACAAGATTTTCGAAAAGGATCGATCCCGAAAAGAGATTGCTTGGGATGGAGGAAAGCAGTAGTGGCAGTTGCATCAGCAGTATCAAAGGAGAGTCTTGCTCCTCCTTTGTCCATAAATTGAGAGAAAGAAATGGGGCAAAGGGGATAAATACAAGTAGATATAGTTTTGTGATGTTTATATTTGTAAAAGAGATCAGGTGGCAATTGGCAATGGACTAGGCATTTAAAAAGGGGTTTGGACTAAGACCAAATGTGAAAGGAGTAGTGATCTCTCAAAGCATGAAATGTGTTTAACAAAAATTTCAATGGGAGAGAGAGAGAGAGTGAGGTCAGATGGTGCGTCAAGTGGACACATGGCTAAAATTGATGGCTACTTAAGAGAAAAGATTCTTTAAGAAGTTACGAAAAAATTGAAAGGGAAAAAGAGAGAGTGATTTATAGATTTATAGATTTATAGATTTATAGATTTATATATTTAGATTTCCTTTTTAAGAATTACTTCTGCCAAACTAAAATATGTTATAAAAAATCAAAGTATGACTTTTATGATGAACATTCTTGGAGTAAATCGGCCTAAATGCATTCGATCAATGTGAGATTTAAATGCATTAGATCAATGTGAGATTTAGGCTAAGTTTGAATTCTATTGTATTTTTAGTGTGATGCCATTGAGTTCATTGCATCATCAGTTGAATTTAAATATCAATTTCAATGTAATTCATTTCATATAAATTTTTCATTAATTTTTTTTTTCAATTGCAGTTATAATAATTTTTATTATTATTTTCAATCCCATCGAAATTAATTTTATCGTTCATGCAAATGGAGCCTTAAATAAAATTTGAAAACATATGTAAACATATTATAAAAAAGGATAATACTCTATTCAGTCCTTGAACTATTGTATTTTTTTTTAATGTATTATCTATACAAAAAAAAATTTTTAATCAGTTACCTAAACTTTATTTTCGTGTTTAAAATCATCCTAACCCCTTAAAATCATTAGATAACGTTGATATGACACTTAATTACTGACGTGGATGACACTTGATTATTATGTGACAATAATGTGACTGTCACGTGTCATTTTTAAAAAATAAAAAATAAAAAACTTTTTCTTTCAAATTTTATTTTAAAAACTTTTTTTTATTTTTTAAAAATGATACGTGACAATTATATCTTAAATCACATGATAATAATATGTCATTCACATTAGTATTTAAATGTCACATCAATATTATCTAATGGTGTTAAGGGATTAGGATAATTTCATACATGAAAATAAAGTTTAGGTATTTGATTAGAAATTTTTTTTATTTAAGTACCATATTAGAAAATGTATAATAATTCAAAAGCCAAATGAAATATTATCCCTATAAAAAATGCTATACTTCTTTAATATTTACAAATGATGTGATTCCAAATTTTAGATTTGTTTAATACAAAATTCAAATCAATAATACAGTTTTGAATGATGTGTTACCAAACCTTTGAATATGAATTTTTATCAAAATGGATTCAAAATTTGGCATAAACACTTTATATTTATTAATGGCATTATAATATATTTATTAATAAAAAATAAATTAATATTAGTCAGCATTTGTAAATGAATTTTCTTAGGATTGATAGACTGGTTCTAAAACACACCGCCCTGATTGGTCTTACGTTGATACCACGTGAGGGTAAAAGCGAAAGAGTCAACGATATCGACGGCCAGGATTCTTTAGTACTATTGTGGACCCCACTTTTGTTTGACCGGTCAGCATTTTTGATCGTGCGAACATTTGTTTTCATGACGGCCAATTTCTTTTCTTTTTTTTTTTCTCTGATAAATTAATTTTCACTCATTACTTTCAAATGAAAATATTACCATGAGAAGTTTTTTTTTTTCTTTTTTTTTTTTGAAAACGTAAATTAATATTTTATTTATAAGAAAAAATTAATATTAATAATATTGGCAAAAATATCATATTTTCAAAATACATATATTTCTGATATATACCAATATACACATATAATTCTTTATTTACAAAATAATTTTTTTATTATTTTCATATTGAAATTAATGATTTTTCTTTGTACTAAGAGGAAACTATTGATTTTCAATGATATAAAACAGGAAGTCAAAAACCAACCCTAATTATCTAGACTTAATTATAAAATTAGAAAGTATATTTATGGCAACATTTATTTGAAGTTCGTCGAAAAGAAAAAAAATTTTGCTCACATGTTTTATTAATAAAATATTAAAATTTTAATTTTAACAATTAAAATTTAAATCATAACTTTATCAAATACTTAAAAAAATTTAGCTACATGTGTGTTTGAATTAACCTCTTCTTCGCAGTGAAATCTACAACTCCCCAAAAACAATCAACATGAACATTTTGAATCACATGGTTTTGTTCTATCACTGTTTTTTTCTTAATCATTGATTATGGAGTTGTTGAAAAAACAAAAGATTAAAGTCAAAACTAAAGAAAAAGGGTTTTTCATGCGGCTTCTTCTTATCACATTATTTGATTATATTTATTTATTTATTTATTTGAAATTTATAATCTACTCTTAAACTTTTTACTCTATTATTTACCTGACTAAAGAAGATATTATAAGTATAAGCTCCATCAAACCCATAATCTTTAAGTGTTAACTCCAATAACATATCAACTGATCTTTAAATATATATATTCATGAATTTCTCACCTTTTAATTTTCTTTGCTTTATCCAAAATGTTCAAATATCACGAAAAAGTGTGTGACAAATTGGGAAACTTTTTCCATCATTTCGCCTTTGAGAAGTTAACAACACGTGAGCCGAACTTGGACTTCAAGCTTCAAACTAGTACTAACTTGTGTAAGTTCCTTATTTCACTATTTATGATGACAAAAGCTTTCGCTTCCCTTAACCAAAAGTTTACTATTTAATGTCATCAAAATAGACTTTTTTTCCTTTAGCTTTAATTGGTTTCAATGTAATTAAAGTTAGACCTTATATATATATATATATATATATATATATTAGGGTTAGGGTAAAGAAGAAAACAGTAACCACACATCAAACTATTCTTCAGATACTTCTAGCGAATGAAAGATAGAAGGGGTGATTGTGTTCAAGCATGCAAACCTTAAAATTTATTTTAATAGATCACGAATATAATTTTTAAGTTATTATTAAATTGTTTGTGTATAAAGGATTACGTTGAAGCTTAAAACAGACAGTTTAATTTGAAAAACACTGTTAAAAAATTGAATAAATCAACAATAGAGATATGTTATATATCTTGGAGTTTTTAAAAATTATATGACTTAGATTAGTCATGTTAATATTGGTCCCATCTTATCATCAAAGTGTAATCAAGAATGAATTATGATTTGCTATATATATATATATATATATATATATATTGATGAGATTTTCTTGTTCTCACTTAAATGCATCTTTGTTTCTCCCTTTATCTCGAAATTTCGATCCAATAGTTCTAGAGCTAAGTAAGTAAGTATGCCTTGTTCAAAAGGTCATTGAAAGAATGGTTTTGTTCATTATAACAAGGGGAAAATTTTAAGGCTTGAATTAGGTTAATAGAGATAGGCTTGGGCATGGCTATACATTCAATGGGTACTAAGTCAAAAGATGAAAAAAACTTTGAGGTTTTTCACCTTTGCTTATTTGGGAATAGCTGGCTAAGTTTAATTCAAAGCCATTATTAATTATTTAAAGCTAGAAAAGTACAAAAAAACATAATGTCCAACTTGAAAAACATTGCTGATATTTTGATAAAATGTTAAACTTTTAATTTCAATGATCAAGATTCAGTACTTAACAATCTCTAAATAAAAAATATAAAAAAATTAAAAAAGACACGTCTTAGCTAAATGCATATAAATTAAATTAGTAATAAAAACCCAAAAAAAAATTGAAGTTAATTGGGATTAACCTTGCCATGCCCTAAAGGTACCACGTCTTCCCAAGTGCAAGCCCTATTTTGACCATAATTTACTCAAATACCTAATTCTTTATTTACCCTTATAACACAAAAATATAAAAATAAAGTAAATTATTAATTTGATCCTGAGTCCGAAACAGTTGGTGTCAGCTAATTGGTTTTAAAAGAAGTATGTGCAAAAAAAAAAAAAAAAAACATTTTGAAAATGAAGTGATAGGCCATTGCTACACGAAATTAATAAATTTGTAGTAAATAATGATTAGTTGAAAATCTAAGGGAAGATTATACAGCCAAAGTCCAACTTAAACTGACGTTTGCAGGCCAAGATTTTCCATGCTAGCTCCTTTCTTGGCTTGCATGGCACATTCATGGAAGATAATTGACAATGACTTTCTTTTCTTTCCTTTTCTTTTTTCTTTCTTTCTTTTGTTCCCTTATATATGAAAGAAATATTCAGTATCATCTTTCTCATTACTAGTATTCTTTTAGCAAAAATTTTGAAAGTAAAATCCTGAATATAACGTGTTGATGTAAGAAAGAATGATTTCAAAATTATTCAGAGAAAAAATCATTAGGTTTAGGTAAAATTTGAAGGTATCTTTGATCGAATTTTAGAAATCAAATCAACATGAAGTATAAATATAGGATCAAAAGAGGTTTAATTTTCTTCAGTTTTTTTGTTTTTCTAGTTCCATATAATTTGCTTTTGCTTTCAAATATTTTTTTCAAGACCCAAAATGTGAAATAAAGCAAACTAATAACATATGTGTTCTTACCTAATTGGAAAATTGAGAGTGTTAGGTAAACATTTTCCACTTGAGTACTTCAAACCATCTCCTCTTAAAAACTATAATTGAAATAAAAGTCCAAATGGAGTCTGGTAATTGCTTCTGTTAATTTTGTGGGAAATATGAATTAAAAACAAAATATATTCATGATAAATGTGATAGAACAACTACTTCAAAATTATTGTATATTATAAATCATTCTGGGTATCTTATATGACTTTGACTAGTTCACCAAGATCATATATAAATATATATACAATCAAATTTAATTGCTTCTATTTTCTATTTGTTTTTAAATTTAAAATATATTATTACATAGTTTTAATTCAGTCAAGCATTGTAAATTTGATGATGGAAAATGAAACTATAGTTAAACCAACTTGACTGAAATTATTGTTCTTCAATTTGGCATTCTATATATAAACTTTGGTTTGTGAATGTTTAAAGAAGAAAGGTATCAGACTTTGAAAAAAATTGGGGAAATGTCAGGTTGAAATTTTGGATATATATATAAAGGATTAACATTATTACCTAAAGAAAGAAAAGACAAAAAAATATATTTCTTAATCAGTTGATTGGGAAAATGGATTCTCAACTATCAGTCTTTGAAGGTGAAATTGGATATAGTACAATGTTTTGCCTTTGACCACAAAAATTAAATGGGTCACTAAAGTTTCTAACTTTTTAGGGTTTTTCCTTTTTTTGGTTTTGTTTTGATTTTCAATGTTGCCTTTATATGTATTAAATTGTTTAATAACCAGATTATACCTAGTTATAAGAGTGATAAATAAAAAAAAATTCTTTTTTTTTCAATTAGAATTCTATTATTGTAAAATATTTCAAAAATAAAATTTTTAATATATCACGTTAACGTAAGCAAATGCTTTTTCAAATTCAAAGGATTAAATTTAGATAAAACCTAAAAATGTTGTTTAATATCGTATTATAATTAAAAAATAAATTATATATATAGTTGGTCTCTTTTCAAAAGTTCATAAATATTTATATAATTCTATTAATTGTATTGTAAAACCATACTCCAAATTGTGGCAAATTGAATCACCAAATTCAATTATAAACCTAAGCCTAGCTTGCAAATTACCCTCCTAGGGCATAGCTCACCAAATTTCTTGGGCTATTGTGAAAAGTTGTGGTTCCACTTTCTGTCTTGGCATGACAGCTATAGATTTGACAAAAAGGAATTATATTCCATATGCTCAAATTCAAACCCAAAGTTCCTTTAATGTTGAAGCTTCAAAACAAAATAATAATTACTCATTATCGTAAGTTAATAGAAATTATATAGAAAAATGTGAGCCCAAATCACTCTTTTCTTCTATCTCCAGCTTACTTGAGAAGTTGGTTTTTCATTTTCCTCACTTGTAATTTAATATTATAAATTGAGTGCCACTAGGGTGGTTCAATTCTATCATGCAAAATGAAAAAAAAAAAAAAAAGTTTGATAAAGTCAATTCTATTTACCAACAAATGATGACTCAAGTGATAAAAGAATTTATTTCTCTCTTAATTGCCTCAATTTTAAATTCTTTTAAAGAATATAAAAAAATAATTTTTTGTAAATTTATTAGGTCCAACATAAATACTCGTAAAAAATATCAATCTCGTTTTCCAAATAATCGGGAAAAAGACATTTTTTTTTAGATATTTGTTCTTCAGCTAATAGCTGGAGCACCTGTATTAGAAGGGGAGAATATAAAATAGATAGTGTTTTGGCAAAGAAAAGAATTTTTAGTTGCCCTGTAAAATATTTCATTGATTCATTCTTTTGATTGATTAGAATTATGAGATAATGGAGTTTGTTTTTGTATTGATTGAAGGGTCAAAATCTTAAGTTTTTCAGTCTGAATAATTCTGTAAAAGCTATAGTCAATGAGAATATTTGCGAACTCAGCATAAGCTTGACTAGATTGTTTACTTTTAATTGCTACCGTTCGTGTCATTAGTAATGAACTATTTGAGTTCCAACTCAGAAAAAATCATTGACAGAAAAGAATTTTCCTTGTTCTTTTTGTGTATAAATTTTCCGACAATTGAATTCTAATCATTGAAATTAATAGATCATCACTTTGCGGATTTGGCAAGAAATTTTCTATATAAAACTCCATTTCTTGATTGAGATTTCTCATAAGAAATTGGGAATTTGGGGGGCCCCTTGATCAAACCCTAGTTTCCAAGTTCTACTTTCAACTTTTAACCAAACCAAGGTTTCATGTTCTGAAGCCTTCAAGTTCAGCCAAAGCTGATGATATAAGATTAACCATTAACTAGACATGTTCATGTCTTACAAGATCTCAGATTTATGAAACAAACAAAATCAGGACTCATATCCAGAGGTAACCAGAAATTTCATCCTTTTCAAATGGTGCTTGAATCGATGGAGAATGCCCAGATATGGTGCTCACTGAACATCCAAAGAGCAATACAGACTAAAAATCAAGGTCGTGTTGCTAATTACAAGGTGGCCATCAGCATAGCTCGAATTTTGGCTCTTAAATCATTGGAAACCGTGGTGGTTTCAGAAGGCAGAGATGGAGCCTTTTCTTCTGCATCTGGTTTTGAAATATCCACAGAAGCTTCCCTACTTGCACCATTGCCCTCACTCAATTTACATTGATCTGATTTTGCACAAATCTCTCCTTCCTCCAATTCCATCTCTCTTCCTGAGTGAGATCTCTTCCTTCGATGACGGTACTCACCATTGGCGGACCTATGGTGCTTATGTCGATGGCGAGAGCGTTGATTCTCATCTTCGGAGGAGCTATAATGCCTGTGACAGTGTCTAGAGCATCGATGCTCATCCTCAGAGGAGCTATTATGCTCATGTCCAAATCTTGAACACCGATGTTCAGTATCTGAAGAGCTATCTCGCTTCTGTCTGTGGCGAGAATGGTGTTGGTCACTCACAGAGTAGTCTGATTTATGACCTCGTTCATCATCAGAGCTACTATCATGCTTATGTTGATGTCGAGAATCGTGATCCTTCAAAGAGGAATGCCTTTTCTTATGTTTACGCCTATCCCTAGTACGGAATGAGGAGTGATGAGATCTCCGCTTTTTATCCGAATGCTCCCTAACTTTCTCTTCTTCTTCCTCCTCCTCCCGTCTGCTATCCTCTTCATGTCTTTGCAATCTTGAACGATACTTCCTCTTTGATCGCCGTTCATTATGATCAATACCAGAATACATCATTTCATGCTTTTCATTTTTATCGGAAGTATTAACATCCGATGCAACTGAGCAGCCTTCCCCATCTTTTCTGAAAAGACTTCCACCCTCCACACCCGAACCAGAAACCCCTGACTCTGGTAGCTCAGCAGATAAGCCTCGTGATGGTTCAGTTTTAAGTGGTGCAGAACCACCTTTTATCATGGCGGCAAACATCTTTGCCCGTTTCAATCTCTCAGCTTTCAACTTCTCTTCTTTTGTCAAACATGCCTCAGAGGAATCAGCCTCACTTGCAGCTGCAATAGCTGCTGTCTTTGCAATAGCATTGGCAACAGGACCAGAAACACTTGGCTCCCTTTTCTGCTCTGGTTTCTGGTTGGAACCCTGACGCTGAGATGAAAGGAGACTACCAAAACTAGAGGCATGCCCACCCTCACTACTAGGGGCCTGGCTGCTACCATTTAATGACGTCTTTGAAAGAATTTCTATATTTGGATTCTTAATGCCTCTTGTGGCAGCCTGAAGAATGGCAGCTGCTGCAGCTGCATCCACACTAATTCCAATTTGTGGCTGGGTAGCTTGGGTAGGGGGATCTTGTCCATCCTTCTTTGATTTGCTGATTACCATTTTAAACTTCTCTTTCCTATCAGAATCATAGGGTATGTCAGATCCAACAGATACAATATCACTTTCTCGGGATGAAGCGGCTTTCTTCTCTACCCCAAGGCTGGATGAATCATGCTTCTCAGAAATAAACCCTTTACCAGGAAACTTTGACTGCAGAGGAAGAGGGTTCTAACATCAGCAGAAGAAAGTGACAAAATATTGTAGTTCTGTGTTGAAGATAGAACCAAAGAATTTGCTTTCGTGATCCAATCATAGGTCAGTCACAACATTTGATATGAATGAATATGCAATACCAAACCAATTATAAAAAAAAAAAAAAAGGAAAAATAGATAGAAAATCAAAGTGACAAGTCAATACATAAGCAACATTTTGGCAAAAGAGGAAACGTATGGGAAAAAAAAACGGTGCAGGTCCCATTCAAGCTGTTTTAACCCATGCCAATCCAGAATCAATAAATTTGTCTTACTAAAAAGAATCTCATAAGAAACAGAGACATTATGCAGAACATTGAAAAGTGAGAATCGTACCCTTTCAGCTTTTTGAAGAACTTTTAGATAATAAGGATGATATAGATTGGATGGCAACAGGAATGGAAACCTCCCATGCTTAACATCTTGTTCAACCAGAACTGCTTCAAACTGTCTACCATTTTTCAGGATAAACTCAACAATCTTATCAACCACTCTCTTTAAATCAGATGAAGGCTCCACAACTGGCAATTCAACTTTTGATGTGGGTGGCAAAGAAGAAGCTCGAGATTTCTCAGCAGCAGAGGCATCACTTTCTTTCTTCAGCCCAGTTGTTCTTCCAGCCATAACTTTTGTTATCGAAAGATTTCTTTTTATCAGAGAAGCCTTTTCCTTTAAAGGAGCTGAATGCTTTGTTACTGTCTCATCTTTCCCATTGACACTTGTAGAAGATTCTTTCTGCTCTGGTCCATCAGTTGATGTTTTATTAATAGCAACCCCAGCTTCCACAGATTTCTTTTTCTTAGCATCAGTAGCATTCTCCATTGCTCCTTCCTCATCTTCTCCAGAATCGTATACAGTACCAAGCAAAGATAATGCACCACCTCCTCTAACACCACCCACCTGATCAAGTGCACAGCCAGCTTTGCTCTCTTCATCAACAGAGTTGCTGTTCAAAAGTTCCTTGTGATCAACAAGAAATCTAAAGTATAGGTGAAGTGGATGATCAGGCATCAAGAAGCCAAATGTCGGGTTGTCTCCCTGTTTGACCCTCAAAACAATCTCTGATTGTCCACCATGTCTGCTTACAAACATAGCTGTCCTTGCCATGATCTGATGTACTTTCTCTGTGGGAGGCTGAAGAAATGACAGAAAAAGAAAAAAGCTTTCAAGTTAATAATGAGAATTTAACAATTGCAAAGTCCCAACAGTGATTGAAAACTTACTAATAATCCCATGGAAAAATGAAAAAAGAAAACCACAAAATCTCACATATATTCAGATAAGCACAAAGATCAAGAAACAGAACTCCTAGGAAGATATGTATCATCCCATTTGCTCAAGTGAATAAGATTCCAGAAAAGTAACAAATTTCTATCATTCTAATCCCACCTGCATGCCCCCTTGTCATGACATCAAAAGGAAACAAGAACTGCATCTGCGCTCCGAGCATCTGAAACTTAGACATTGTAAGCCTTAGAATAACACATGCACCTTACTCAACTATCACACAGCCACATTGGATAAGTATCAAACAGACAATTATATCTAGAGTATACAAAAAAGAAGTAAAGATATATTTTAATAAGATAACCATGTACTTACTAGGTTTTGAAGTAAGCTTGCAGGCACAGGAAAGGGTGGCCGAAAACTAGATTCTGCATCAGTATCCTTTAGCTCATTGGATTCACCAGTTTTTCCATATGAAAAGGGAACAGAATTATAGCCACCACCAGCAGTCTCAGGTTCCTCATCATTATGTCCACCTGGAAGCAAAATAAACCAGAATCAAAACCACTTCTATGTACAGCCATTACGAAATTACACTTTTAGAAACACATAGCGAACAGAACCAACAACAAACACAAAAAGAAACTAGCTAGGATTATGCAAGTGTAAGGTTGTAACATTCTTACTTGTCTCTCTGAAACACGAAATTGTTGCAAACTAGATTCCTTCCTGCAACCTTGGAAAAGCAGCACAAAATATACAATGTTCATGCAAACTAGAAAGTAATCACCCAATTGCTCAGCATAATACCATCTTCAAAATAAACAACAATAAAGCATATCTATTTCCATACTGCAAACAGCAATACTAGTAAGCAACAAAACCTTGTAAATCATGCACTGGGAAACTCTCGTTAAACATCTTTCAAACCCTATAGCCAATTAAGTAAGCTTAAGATAATATAAACAAGAAACCGGCATTAGTTACTCAAGCAGAGTAACTTAAACCAAATGGCTTTTAAGATGTAATGATTTTGATAAAACAAGCTCAAAATCAAATATAATATTTGATTTCATCTGTTTCTTTAGAGATATTTTCCGACAAGTGTCAAGCACAAAAGCCTCAATAGTGACAAGAACCAAGGAATTAGACAATCAAAGATTCCACATAGCTCATATTTTACAACATTACATATAGAAAGCTCTTTTCTGTTTTTTTTTTCCTACTAACCTTATTAAACCAAAGCTAAATAAAACAAGACCTATAACCTAATTTATTTGCCCCCCCCCCCCAAAAAAAAAAAAAAAAAACTAAATTAAAGCTCTGTTTCGTTGTCACTCTTATTAACATGCTTTTGATGGGATTTGGGAAAAACTGAGCATAAATTAAATTAAAATCATGTTTTTAGTTATCCTAAAAGGTTAAATTTTTTATTGTTTTATAACTAAAGATTGCAATAATAACAATAATTCTTTCTTTACTTTCCAAATATTGGAAAAATTAAATCTCATAAAATTCAAGAAATTCAGTTCATATTAACAATTAAAAATAGAAGCAATGAAATTTTTGCATAAATTAAATAGTAATTTTAAAAAATTAAAAAAAAAAAACATTTTTATCGTTTCTCACCTTGCTGATCAGACCGCGAGGAAGAGGGAGGAGGCAAATCGAGGTAACGTTCACGATCGAGCTCGGACTCCAAGGCATCATCGGCGGTTTGCGGCGGAGATGACAAGTGGCGCCGCCTCTTTCGTGAGGGAGGAGGTCCGGAGAGGAGATGGCGCACGTCGTACCGATCGATGGAGAGGGAGTTCCAGTCGACGAGAGCCTCCGAGGAGTTGACAAACGCCGCCATGGCGTCATCGTCAAAGAGCAGCGCGTGGCGGCCTACCATCTCTAGATCCATCAGGAGTCAAATAAGGATTTGCTTTCGAATGTGGGCTAGAGAGAGTAAGACAGTTTAATGATATTGCTTCTGAAGAATATGTTAGCCCCACAAAAACAATGGCTAAGAAGAAGCGAGTTAATTTTTTTGCAATGGTGCCCTTATAGTTGTTGTTTATATTACTTTTGTCCTTACCCTTTTAACTTTTATTTTCAAAACCATGAATAAAAGTTTGAATATCACCGAAAGTGATTGGTTCAAAACTCGTTCTCTTTAATTAAGAGATTTTAAATTTCAATTTTATTTAAATTTATAATTATTTATTTTTAATTATCATATATAATATATTTTATTTTAATTTAAAAAATTAAATAATTTATTTACCCCAAATTAGTTTTTTACCAAAACAAAAAGTTTGAATATCAAAATTAATAGTACAAGATTTAAGATAAATAATTTCTTCTTGTGATTTTCTTTAACTTGAAAATTGTGGATTATTATTTTTTAAATAAATGAAAAGTATAAATATTATTTTTTAAATATTAAAAATATTTCTTACTTTTTGTATTTTGTGATTACCAAATATAAATTTAAGAATCCAATACTTAATTTAAAATAATAAAAATATATTAAATTTTAAAATTAAATTAAATTTAAAATTTATTTGAATATATTCAAATATAAATTACTTGATAAATTAAATTATTTAACTTAATAATGATCAAATCAAATTTATAATTTATCTCAATCAAACTCAATGAATACTGACGAATCATTTACAATAATTTTGACGTTCAATTTTTTTTTTTTTTTTATCTTTTCCTTTTTTAAAAAAGAGCAATGAAAATCAATAGCCGCTTTCGCGTTGCGTTCCCTCCAAAGTGCACCGTTTTGTCCCCTTCTGCGTCTTGCATTTTGGGCTCACTTTTGAAGATATTTGGGCCTTTAGCCCTTTCTTTTTCCTTTGTTCATGGGCCTTCTCTGGCCCTTTCAAGTTTCAAATGTTTATTTTTCTCATTTTATTTTAATCCAAATAATGAAAAAAATGAGGTGAATATTAAAAAAAAAATTATAATTTAAATTTTATTTTTTAAAAATTTATTATAAATTATTTTCTCATATTTTATCCTAAAGTAGATGTAATATTCGATATTTGAAATAATGAAAATAAAAGTAAAGAGAGGTGGATTTATTTAATTTTTTTATTTAAACCCATTCTTTGAACGAAGAAATGCATGATTTTATTATTAAGTTAAATATTTAGTACGAAATTTCTATAATGATTGATCATATGTTTATTAATTTATATTTGAATTTTATTACTCTCTTTTTTTTTAATATTAACATAAGTTTGAAATTAGTATTTTTCAAAATATTCCTAATTACTTATATTATTTTTAAAAAAAGGGATGAATTGTAAAATTGTTTAGGCAATAATTCAAAATTAGCATATATAATGAATGGGATTATATAATAATGTTTAAAGGTTATGAAAATAGAAGTTGGTCCAAATGAAATCCAAATTAACTTTCCTCTCTTCAAGTAGTAATACTAACATATTTCTGTTTCACAAAAAGCCATCCTTCATAGACGGGATTTGTCATGTTTTAGAGAAGGTTACGAAAAAGTTGGCCATCTTAATTAATATAGTGAATCCAACAAACTAAGTATGACAATTTATTTCAATTAATTCGTGATCAAATTTAAATTGATTTAAAAATATTAACAATTTGAATCTAATATAATTTAAAAAAAATAAAATTGTAAAATTTTGAAACAAAATAATTTAAATTAAAAAAAATCAAAATTAATATAATTCAAATTCATCATAATCGAATCCATAACATAAATCTTAATCACTTGTTGCACAATAAACACATCATGCATATCATAGATTCTTCATCGCTAACTCATATTTATTTTTGTTAGATTAAAAATTTTATAAGATCAATTTAACTTAGCAGTCCTTTGAGCTGAAGTTTTGCCTTCCCCAAACACGTTAGGTAGCTGCAAATTTAGGGTCTGTGTCTTTTTTTTTTTTTTTTGCTTTAAATGGCAAATTCCAACTTTGCTTTGCCGTAAGGCACGGCTAAATTTCCTCAGGTCAGCCATATGAGGGAACCGGGTGGTCCGCACCTTTGCTGTTCATTAATGGAGTGCAGGAGCTAGCTTTGACATTAAAAAGTCAAGACTCAATGGTCGTTAAATGGCCAATGCCTATGCTTCAAGCTTTTATTAACAAAACAATTAAATAATGAATTATTATAAAATAAAATTCATAAAAGTTTAGCCACCCAAAAAAAGAAAAAAAAATTCTAAGTTCATGCTTAGGGTTATAAGAATATTGAAAACCATATATCAATCTTCTTTGGTTATTATATATGGAAATGTATGTTTTTAATTGTTTGAAAATATAATTTTAAAACGTTAAATTTAAATTATATTTATATATAAATTATAAAAATAGAATGCATATTTTACTTATTTAAAAGTTATACAAAAATAAATTTCAAATTTATTTCCGAAGAGAGAATAGATTTAATAAATTTATGTATTCAAAAATATTTTCTAAAATAGATACATTTATATGTATTTTATCAATTGGCAATAATTTCAATGGTGGATTTCCTCTATGTTTGGGTTGGGTTTTGAGCCTCATCTCTTGCAATAAATTAAAAAAAAATTTATATCATTTTTTTGATTGAAAAAAAAAAATTACATGAATATAATTTTTTCGAATTTAAAACTTTGGAATATCAACTTTAATGGTATGTTCATTAATTCAACCGTCAATAAACAAAATATATCTAATTTTTAAATTTCAACAAATTCATAGAGGAATTTTTTAAGATATGCAAATAAATTTTGATATTTTTTAATTACATCAATTGTCTAATGATATAATTAAACAAAACCCATGACATTTATGAGCCTAACTTGGGATGAATGCAACATCATCTAAGTTGCTTAAGAATTCGATCACACTCCTTGCATAGTATCCCTCCACCTTTTATAAACTCAAGGTCCAATCCCCCCATTTCCTTCACAAAAGATCTCCCAACCCTTCAAGAATCCAAGATTGGAACACACAATAGGAAATGGAACTTACCAAAATTATCGTCACTCTAGCTCTAACCTTTGCTATAACAATAGCTTTGGCAATGAAAAGCATCGGCGTCGCAGAAGAAAAGCCTACTTTGATCAATGTCATTCAATCTCTAAAGGCTGATGATGATCAACCGTTGCCAATGCGTTCCAAAAGGGTGAGCCGTTTCCTTAAGCATGAAGATAAGAACCCTAGAGCAGCTGACCGTTGCCACAAAGATGAAGAGGCTTGCTACATTCAAGGTGGCTACAACTCCACTTGCTGCAACAACAAATGTGTGGATTTGGTCATCGATGACCTCAACTGTGGTGCATGCAAGAGGAAATGCAAGTTCACCCAGGTTTGCTACCGGGGAGAGTGCGTCTATGTTTCTTTCGACAAAAGGCATTGCGGCGGGGCTTGCAATCACCAGTGCAATCCGGGTGAATATTGCGTTTATGGAATGTGTAATTATGCATAAGTATTTATACAAAAAATTACATATAAGTAATCGAAATTAAAATGATTAGATAATTAAGAGTTCGTATGAAATTCATGATTTATTCAAATACATAATAAAAAAATTCACATTTGAGGTGGTTTTTAAACTATATATATATATATATATATTCATATATAAAGTGAGCAAAATATGGATGAATTGCTTCATGTTGCTATAGTCTTACACATTTTTTTGGGTTAGGGAGAAAGGAGGAGGATATTTCATTGTATACTGATTCCATTGTTGTACAAAACAGGAATTTTGGATTTTATATGAATGAGTCATCTCTTTTTCCTTTTATACTATTCTTCATCTTCTTCACCATTTATTTGAAATCCCTTTAATTTTGAATACATTGAAAAAAGATCCTATGATTAGAGGTGCTTATAATTTGGTTTTAGCATTAATGGATTAAATCGATTTAATTTGATTAATCGATTGATTATCAAATTAATTTTGATAAATTAATAATAATGATTTTTAAAAAATTTTGATTTTCGAATAATTTAGTTTTTAAATTGAATTAACATAATTAATCAAAATATAACAAAATTCAAATATAAAATAAAAAATGTATGAAATAGATTATTTTACTTCCTAAGTTGTGAGAGTTTTTAATATAATATTTGGATATTTAAATATTTTATTGGATAATTTTATTTAGTTTATTTAAAATATAATTATGAACTCATTTTTTCATATACATTTTAAAATCATGAATAGACCACAAATTCTTAATTTAATCCACATCCACCAAATATTGACCAATATTTCTATTTTCTAATTTTCCATGCCCACAAAATAAAAAAAAAAAGAATCAGATTTCTTTTCCCAATTTGCCCTTATAGAAACACTTAAAAATAACAATATTCACTATTAAAAAAAACAATATTCAAATTGAAGGTAAAAAAGGAAAAATGGCGGCTCCAGCAGTGGAGGGCGCAGCGGTGACGGCCCTCCGGTCGGTCCTACTCCGAGCCCGACATGCAGCGGAGCGTGCAGGGACGCAACCCGAACGGGTTCGAGTCGTGGCCGTGTCGAAGACCAAACCCAACTCCCTTATCCGCCAAGTTTACGACGCTGGTCACCGCTGCTTCGGCGAAAATTACGTCCAAGAAATCGTCCAGAAAGCCCCCCAGGTATTTCACGTAATTACCAATGAAAAAGTCAAGATTTTTGCCCTACAAAATTTCATTTTTAATTTGTATTTATTAGTTATATTATTTTTGCAGCTGCCTGAGGATATTGAGTGGCATTTTATTGGGCATTTACAGAGCAACAAGGTTAAAACCCTTCTTGGTACGGCTAATTTTCCAAAATTTTTTAAAGTATTTTTTTTTTTAAGGTTAAAGGATATAAAAAGTCCTTAAATCATAATTAAAAAATCCTCTAAACTTTTAATTTTTTTTTTGCAATCAATTAACCTTTCTAATATTTATTTTAACTCAATTACGCACTTAATACTGTTAATTTTTTTTCAATTAGGATAAAATTTCATGTGATATCAATAAAGTAGATGAAAGTTTGTCATTGCAATTAATATGTGTGAAAATAAAATGAAATAAAATATTTTTCTTTTTCTTCTCTATTTTCTTTCCCTCTCTCTGAAATTTTTCTAAGGGATCAATTAACCGTAGTTCGAGGATTGAGTGATTCAATTTTGCTATGAGACTAAATTTCTTCTGATTAAGGATTCAATTAAGTTGAAATAGAAGATAAAGTGTTCGATTGATTGTAATAAAATATTAAGGGTTTAAATGATTTTTAAATTATAGTTAGGGGCATTTGTAACCCTTATGCTTTTTTTTTTTTAAAAGTGGCATTGTTGGATTTTCCTCCTTTTGATTCAGGGTGAGTTAATGACTATCCAGTAAAATCGAGGTCTTACATTTAAACAGGAGTCAGAGATCCCATTTCTACATTTTTTCTATGTGGTTTGGCAGATTATTACTGCACATGTTGCACAAAATGTGATGGTAACAGTTGCAAAATTGGTTTTGGCTCTTTGTGTATGTAAGATTTGTTAAGGGATTTTGGCCAGAAGGTCTTCTTTTGAGTGTGATTTTGCATGTGCCTTGGGTGATTGTGTGATGAAGCTCTTATTGGTATTATCTTGTTGTAAGGATTATATTCACTTCTGCAAGTTTTCCCCTAAGTTTGTTTGTTTCTGTAAATGCAGGTGCAGTGCCAAATCTGGCCTTGTTTGAGGGCGTAGATAATGAGAAGGTAAAGGCTTAGCCTAGCATGTTTTGTTTATATGTGAGGTATGAACTTATTTCTTAATTGTTTTGTTTGTATAAAGGGAAGTTAGCATTTGGTTTTTGATAGGGCTGAATTTTGAACTTCTTGTGCTTACTTATATGTCATGTCAGATTACCTTAATTTTGGAAAATTAGGTCTTACTTCGTCTTTATAATTCACAGATTGCCAACCATCTTGACCGTGCAGTTTCAAGCCTTGGGAGAAACCCTTTGAAGGTTTTTTTACAAGTAAATACAAGTGGAGAAGCATGTGAGTGAAGTAAATCCGTCTAATTTTAGATATGAATCTTCAATTCAACGTGTTTGACCTTTCAAGCATGTTATTGATTTCCCTTCATTTAACTTTCTTTCTGTTTGATTATTAATGTAGATCTTTCTAGATGGCATATGTAGACATGGGTACTCAGCTGCTTACTGAGGCAATTAAAACTGTTAGGATTTTGCATTGTTGCACATCCAGCAGAATGTATCATCTTTTTTAGCACAATCATGTTTTCCATAAGTTAACCTCGTATAAAATTTGATAGACTGTTCATATGATTACTTTGATGTTGTTGCAGCAAAATCAGGGATAGAACCCTCAGCTTGTGTACGGTTCGCAGAATATGTTAAATTGCGCTGTCCAAATTTGGAGTTTTCTGGCTTAATGACAATAGGAATGCCAGACTACACATCAACGCCAGAGAACTTCAGGGTAATGGATTCTGTAGCATTTAAAAAGGAGGATGCAGGATTCCTCCAATCAGATAATGATATAAAATATTTTGTCAACCTAATTGGTGTCTATGATTCCTTTTTCTACTATATATGACTCCATATATCTTATGTTGATGTTGGTTATTTTAGTACCAGAAATCTGCTTTCTTCTCTTCCTCTTTTTGTATCTTCCTTTGTCTGATAACGTTCTTGGGCATTCATCTATATCTTCTGATGAACAGACGCTATCCAACTGTAGAATTGAGGTTTGTAAGGCACTTGGAATTACAGAGGATGAATGTGAGCTGTCAATGGGCATGTCCAGTGACTTTGAGCAAGCGGTATGGAATACATTAAGCTTTGACCAAACAAACTCTCTTTGGTTTCAAAAATTTTCTTTCACTTTGTTCTGAAATTTAATATATATATATATATATATATATCCATAAATTGTTGACAAAAGCCATTATAGCTCATGCCATAGTTACTGAGAAACCTGCCATAGAAAGTGGAAACTGGTTCGAGATAAGGGTTTATGTGGCAAAAATCAGTCTTCTGGAAAGTTGGTACCATCCTTTTTGTCGTATCGAGTAAACAGGCTAGAAAGGGTCTGAGACATTGAGGGCAAAATTTGCTTTTGGAAAAATAATTGATATGCAGATTACAGATTACACCATTGATGAATGTCGCTCTCTACCTTTGCAGATTGAAATGGGCAGTACTAATGTGAGGGTTGGCTCTACCATCTTTGGACCAAGGGACTATTCAAAGAAGCTGCCAAATTGATGTCTCAGTTTCTTGCAGTTGCTTGAGTATCCAATCTATTCTTCTGTAATCATTAGTTAACAAAAATTACCAAATCCATGTAATTCTTCTACTCATAATCTTGTTTTTAATTGTATTCTGGCATTAGTAACTTTTGGTAAATGATGTGACCGTAACTTCAATGGCATCCCCAATGCGGAATTGTAAACAAAGTTTATCAATGTTCATGAATCAAACTCTGTTCTAATTATTTCTTAGTTTTTTTATTGTTAGTTTGGTTCTTTTTATGGATTTTTTCTTTTATTTTTATGTGTATTAAAAATTATTTGATTATATTTTAATTTTTACAGTTAAACGTGTAATTTCATTGAAAAAAAAAGAAAATTAAAGAAAATCAAACCCTTGAATAAAAAAAAAAAGAAGAAAATACTTAAAATATACTAAAAAATTGGAAATAAAAGGCACTAATGAGAATAATCTAAATTTATATTTTTTAAAAACAGTACTTTCGAAAATAAATATTTTGGATTAGTAAAACAAAATAGAAACTTTTATTAAAAAATATAAATAGGAGAATTTCATTGCCCGAGTCAACTCAAAAATCTCTGACTCAACTCGTTACCTACCTTCTCTTATCTTAAACCTCCCCAAAACACTCCGCCAAACCCAAAATTTTCTCGAAATGACTTCACTTTCTCTCCAACCCAAATTTTCTCTATATCCAAACAACCCAATTCTCCATTTCCAACCCCAAAACAAGCCTCAAATAATCATCTTCCCCAGAAAAATAAAGACAAAAACAAAATGCTCGTCTATAGACCCCCAACAACAAAAACAACAGGAAAGTTACTCTAAGAAGAAGAAAAGTGTGGGTGAAAGTGAGAGAGGAGTTGACCCAGTTGGGTTTTTGACAAAACTAGGCATTACCCATAAAGCCTTTGCTCAGTTTCTTCGTGAAAGGTATGATTTTTAGCTGAAAACAATTGATTTTGAAAGTGAAAAAAAGAAAAGAGAGAACCTGGAAAGCTGACATTTGTTGGGTTTTTTTTTTTTTTTTTGGAGATAAAAGTTTTGAGTAATGAAGACAAAGAAGCGATATTAAATTTTGTGCTTGGTTCACAGGAAAGTGAAGGAAAAGAGTATAGTTTTTAGCTGAAATGAGTTGTAAGGAAATGAGTTGGAATGCTTGGGGTGTTTGTTTTCAATCAGTAATCTTTTTTGTTGTTAAAAAACAAAGTGTTTTCTTTTCTTAAGAACTAGATTGTTGTTTATTGCTGTCTATGAATATATAGTGTCTTACATGTTATTAGTTTGATCTTTTTAATCTGTTTTGTAGGTATAAATCATTGAAGGATCTTAAAGTTGAAATTTTTACACGCCACCTCAATCTTCAGGAAATGGCATCTGGATTTGAGATTTTGGGTATGCATCGTCACAAGGAGCATCGGGTGGATTATATGGACTGGGCTCCAGGTTTGGCCTATGCTTCAAATTTTTATCAATTTTCGCACCTGAGTTTTTGGCTTAAGCTGAATTCTTCTGTACCCTGATTTTAGTTTGTTTTGATCATATGAGCTTTTCAATACATCTATAATTCTAATTTGACTTGATCGAAAATTCAACTTACTTAATTGTTAATGCTTAACAATGTTTATCACTATGATATAATAGATATCTGTGAAGAAATCTACCTATATTTTCCTCTGAGCCAATTGTTATATTGTTGGTCATTGGTAAAAATTGAGCATGTTGAAAACAGGTGCTCGCTATTGTGCATTAGTTGGTGACTTCAATGGGTGGTCACCAACAGAGAATGCTGCAAGAGAGGGTCATTTTGGCCATGATGATTATGGATACTGGTTTATAATTCTTGAAGATAAATTAAGGGAAGGAGAAGAACCGGATGAACTGTATTTTCAGCAATATAACTATGTTGATGATTACGATAAAGGCGATAGTGGTGTTACTATTGAAGAGGTTTTTAAGAAAGCAAATGATGAGTACTGGGAACCTGGAGAGGACCGCTTTATTAAAAACCGTTTTGAATTGCCAGCTAAGTTGTATGAGCGACTATTTGGCCCCAATGGACCTCAAACTCTAGAGGAGTTAGAAGAAATATCAGACGCAGAAACCAGATATAAGGCATATAAGGAACAGCAAAAAGATGATCCACCAAGTAACTTACCTCCATTTGATGTAATTGATACCGGAAAAGAATATGATGTTTTCAATATTGTGGCTGATCCTGCATGGCAAGAGAAATTTCGAGCTAAGAAGCCTCCCCTGCCATACTGGATAGAGACACGCAAAGGAAGGAAGGCATGGTTGAAAAAGTACACTCCAGCTATTCCTCATGGAAGCAAGTACAGGGTGTATTTCAATACACCTGACGGGCCTTTGGAACGAGTGCCTGCTTGGGCTACTTTTGTACAACCAGGTAATTACTCTGCCGAGATGGCAGTTTCCTGCTTCATCTTAATGCATCATTTCCATTTGAGCAACAACTACAACTTTGTCTTGTTCACTTTTACGTGTTTTTAACCACTCTCATTCATACTGTTAGAAAGATAGATAAAATTGACTGGAAAAGCAACATTTCAACAGTTCCAAGTGTCTTTCATCTGAACCTGTTGATTATGTTCAGATGCAGAGGGAAAGCAAGCTTACGCAATTCACTGGGAACCACCTCCTGAATGTGCATACAAGTGGAAGAACGTAGCCCCAAAAGTACCCCATTCTTTGCGCATATATGAATGCCATGTTGGAATCAGTGGATCAGAGCCCAAAATATCTTTGTTCAATGATTTTACAGAGAAGGTGCCGCTCTAATTGTTGAATTGTTCATATGTCTTAATGTGGTGAAATTTGGCTGATATTTTCCTCTGTTTTATGCTATGTTTTTCCACTGCAGGTTCTTCCTCATGTAAAGAGAGCTGGATATAATGCAGTGCAGTTTATTGGAATCGTTGAACATAAAGATTATTTCACTGTTGGTTATAGAGTGAGTTAAACATTCTTCCCCTTTCCTTTCTTTTCTAAGATTTGATATTTTTATTAATTTAGGTTCCCAAGTTGTGGACTCCTGTATCCACTTTTTCATTTCAAATATTGAAAAATAGATTGCTACAAACCTCTGAACTATAGACACAGAATCTTTCTGTTTCATGCCTCTAGTATTTTATGCAACTAGTTCCAGACTTTGATTGTCAATTTAATTGTATGTTTAGATCACAAGGAGACAAAATGTTGTTACAACATTGATGGTAAAAATTTATTGTCAGAAATAGATAATTAAACTTGTTACATGTAATTGGAAGCACAATAGCTGTTCTTGTTTTTTAATTTTCATTGCTTGTTGTTAGGTCACAAGCAATTGCAAGACATAGCGGGGTGTTTTTAATCTTACAAGCGCATCATGCTAACAGATGCTTGTGATTGGTGGTTACCTTTTTCTACATATTCTGCAGCTTAGTCATTCCCATCTTTATTTTATAGTTAGATGATCTGTCATGTCTATGGTGATGCAGGTCACTAACTTGTTTGCTGTTAGCAGCCGATATGGCACTCCAGAGGACTTCAAGCGTTTGGTTGATGAAGCACATGGTCACTATTTTTCAATTCTGCAGTTAATTTTGAAGTTTGAGTTTTCTTTGCAATTGACAAACTAACTTTATCTAGCATTACAAGATAGCTACACTAACTGCATCTAAGCTGCTTCATACCTATTACAATTATCTCAAGAAGATTATAATGTAAAAAAGTGAATCAAGACTGACACAATTTTAGTTGATGTGGGATTTAAGTGTTACTGTTACCAGATCCCAAATGTCATAAGTTAAACTGGCAGAATAGAATTGAGTTTCTAAATAGTTCTTAACTTACAGCTTGTTTGGAGAGAAAATAATACAAGTTAGATACAGTTGATAACACCAGAATAAGGCTTTGTGTATAACAGAAGTGCTCCTAGACTAGGCATTATATGTCACGGCTTGGAAAGCTCTTTCTATGCTATATTAGGAATGTATGTTTATATCAGCATATAATTACCTTCTTTCTAGTTGTGGTTCATTTTTTCTGGTTAATAAATGTAATACCTTGCCTTTTTAAACCTTTTTCCTGCAGGACTGGGACTGCTGGTCCTTTTAGACATAGTGCATTCCTACTCTGCTGCAGATGAGATGATTGGACTATCACGTTTTGATGGATCAAATGATTGTTACTTTCATAGTGGTAAATGTTTTTCTTTTTCTTTTTGAACAACTGATTGTGTTTTCTATTTGAGCCTTGATCTCACTTATGTAATAGACTTGTATTGTTGTATGATGCTTTTTTGAGGGATCTTGGAATTTGTGCTTGTGATGTTGATAGGAGACATAAGACTTGCAAACTTTGCAGTTCTTTTCTGGCTTCATTCCTAGGAGTTCACCTAGTTGAACAGAAGCTTGAATAAATATACTTGAATATTTGACATTTCTATTGAAGTGATAAGATATTTTGTTTAGTTGAGGTTGCACATGATAACATAATAACTATTACCTAACAAATAATGGAAGTTGTAGATCAATTGTGCTATCAAATAACCATAGAAAACCGATAAAATAGGATTTATGGAAAATTCAAGCCACTCATTGAGAGAACTATCATTGCTATTGCCATTAGTCTATACAGAATAACTGGGGACTTTATATGCTCAGATGCTTTAGATTGGCATATAAATGCACAATAGGTAGAATATAGCTTTTTGTTTTGGTTGATATTTCTTAATGTTATTGTTATACTATTAAAAAATGAGGTCAAGTTGACGCTAAAAAACTTGTAGTATGTTATGACAGTGTCTTTTGTTATTTCCAATTGTCTACACTTGTAGGTAAACGAGGACATCACAAATACTGGGGCACCCGAATGTTTAAATATGGCGATCTAGATGTACTACATTTTCTCCTCTCGAATTTGAACTGGTAAATATGGAGAACATCTTTCTTCTTTTTTCCTTCTTTTTTTTGCTTTTCGGTTTTATGAATTGTAAGTTGATCTTTTGGGAAGTAACTTGTGTTCCTCTTTGGGAAGGCAGTATTGGCATTGATGATGAGATAATCCTTGAGCAGGTGGATTTCAGAGTACAAGATTGATGGTTTCCAGTTCCATTCACTAGCATCGATGCTGTACACACACAATGGCTTTGCTTCATTTACCGGTGACTTGGAGGAGTAAGGCATTAAATGTCTTCTTTTGTACCAACCTCCTTTCAGAGAGAGAGAAAGTAGTTAGTGATTTACTGTGTCATGTCCATAACCCTAATGCCTGATTCAATTTATTTTTTAGTTTATGAGACTAAAGTAGTTTTGATCTCAAATCAATATATTTTTGCTACATAAGATGCAGGATAAGCTAAAATAACAAACAGCTGGACACCTACCTCATCCCTTAAGAGATGGTACCCCAACCGAGAAGATGGCAGATTCATTTTGATGTTAAATCAACAACATCGTATTATTTGTGGAAATTTATATCGGGCACCTAAAACGAAGGAGTTTTAGCAAAACCTTAGGTGGTCTGATACTGTTTTTTAAGTCAGTTATTATCCATTGTTCTATAATCTTTTCCACACTCTGGAATTCCAGGTACTGCAATCAATATGTTGACAAGGATGCTTTAGTGTACCTCATTTTGGCAAATGAGATACTGCATGCTCTTCATCCTAATATAATAACAATTGCTGAAGATGTAAGTATTATGATTTTTCTGCTGTTCTTTTCTGGAGAAACCCAATAGTAATATTGCTTTCTCTATCTGTCTTTGGAAACCAAACTTCTTGTCCAAACACAATTTATATTCAACTAAGTCCTTACTAGTCAACTGATTTGTTAGCTAACCATGGTTGACTTAGAAACTTGGGCTGGTTATCCATAATATTTCCTTCTTGGTTTAATCAACTTCTACATGAATTTTACACTGTACCATTTTGATGTCTCCTTCACTATTTTGGAGTTCTTAACTTCCTTGCATTTTATTGCGACTGACAAAACAGTGTTGCGTGCATTGAATTTATTTGCAATATTATCTCTGATACCTTTATTTATTATATGTTTGGATATGATTTTTCATCTATCAACTTGGGTCTTTTTTTTACTTTTAACTTTTAACACCTAGCTGGTCTGGACTTGCATTAAATGAAACTTTGTCAGTTCTGTTATTACTCTTGAGAACGTTTTCATATGGAGCTTTATTTATTTATTTATTTTGTGGACTTACAAAAAAATTTCCATCTGTTTTAATACTCAGGCGACATTTTACCCTGGATTATGCGAACCAACTTCTCAGGGTGGACTGGGATTTGATTATTATGCCAATCTCTCTGCATCAGAGATGTGGTCAACTTTGCTTGAGAGCACTCCTGACCATGAGTGGAGCATGAGCAAGGTTGTGGTGGTTGTGTTACATGATTAGTATAGATTCTCAGCATTGAGTATTATGTTGTTGTTGCCTTTAATTCTCTTTCTCTCTCTCCTAACAAGTGAGATATAGGAGGCAGGGGGATTCATTCTTTCCTAGCATATATTTTTCCATCTATTATTCTGCCATTAACTCTTTGTGCTTTTGTGCTGCAGATTGTTAGCACATTACTAGGCAACAGACATTATGCAGATAAAATGCTTATATATGCCGAAAATCACAACCAAGTACCCTTCTACTTAAGTCTTTTGTTGTATAAGGAAAGCTTTGTTTGAAATGTATTAAGACAAGAAATTTATTCACATCTTGAGTTATAAATACGTTAGAATGATGCTATTCTGCTATTACTATCTTCTATGTCAGTCAATATCTGGAGGGCGCTCATTGGCAGAGATATTGTTGGGCCAAGGGAATGAGAAAGCTCCTCACTCAAAGGAGTTATTGCTAAGAGGATCTTCATTACTCAAGGTATTCAATATTTCTGCTTTTCCTATTTGTTTACTCTCTGCTAACAGTTTCTTCTTTGTTGCTCTTTCATATTCATTTTCCTTTTTACAATCTGGAGAGCTTAACTTTTTTCCCCCTAATGTGAGACATACTGGTTAGATGCACCAAGCATTATTCTAAAATGGTTTGGCTTGTCAAAGCTGAGGATTCCCTAAATCAGCTTGTAACTTAATGCTCTCATAATTTTTATGTGTTCTTCTTGTGCATTGCATTAAAGAGAGCAATCTCTAGCAACAAACTTATGTGATTTAATCTGGTATGTTAATTCCTGATTGGTTTTCTTTCCCTTAAACCAGATGATCAAACTGATTACATTCACAGTTGGTGGCCGTGGTTATCTTAACTTTATGGGGAATGAATTTGGGCATCCACAAGTGAGGATGATTTCCCTTTTACTTATCCGTGAAGACTTTGTTTCTTGTGATTAATGATCTTTTGATTTAATAGAGGGTTGAGTTCCCAATGCCGAGCAACAATTTCTCATTTTCACTGGCGAACCGATGCTGGGATCTTCTTGAAAAGGAGGGAGTATTTCGGGATTTATTTCGCTTTGATAAGGTAACAATTGTATTACCATGCAGGAGAGTCCTTTCATAGTCGCATACATGTGAGCTCAGTTTTCTTATGTTACTTGCTTCATAAGAATCCGAAGAAGTGCTAGAACTATTAGTGGCATAAGCATTAATTCAATTTCAGTCATCGCTTTACTGTGTTCATCGTAGTAAACATATTGTCATGTAATTGCTAGGTTGTCCTTTCTGTTTATTGAAGAAGAAATACTTGTCAAGCTTTGGTTGCAAAATTCTAGCAGAAAAGGCATTAGTTACAAAATCTTACTTTTTCTTCCTAACTTTTAGGACCTGATGAAGTTGGACAAAAATGAAAGGGTACTTTCAAGAGGATTGCCCAACATCCACCATGTGAATGACACTAACATGGTATGGCACAGCTCTCTTTCTCTCTCTCTCTGCATGCATCAATGCATATACAGCTGCTCATACCATATTATTTTCTTACTCGGGCACTCCTGTGTATGTATACAGGTAATATCCTACATAAGAGGTCCTCTTCTCTTCATATTCAATTTTCATCCCACAAATTCTTATGAAAGATACTGTGTGGGTGTGGATGAAGCTGGAGAGTATCAGGTAACCATATGAAATTTCTTCTTCATAAGTCGATACAGTTTCTCTTCATCATCCGGCCATGGCCACGACCCACACATACACAAATACAGTTGTTCAGTGCAGATGTTCCAAAAATCTAAACTAATGGACATAACTTCTTTTATGTGTTTGTCGTTGTGAATGTCTATTGTATAAGTTTAGCAATTAGCATCTGTTTATTTGGAGGAGCTCTCGATCTAATGCACCATGAATATTTTACAGTTTACTAAAGACCCTATTCATTTACAATAGAGTTGAAATATTCTTTGGTGGTACAGGTCATAATGAACACCGATGAAAGAAAATATGGAGGTGAAGGTTTAATAAAGGATGAACAGTGTCTTCAACGAACCATTAGCAGAAGGTAGTTATCTACTTCTCTGAATATCTTGTCATATTTTATAGTAACAATCTATCATCTGAATTTTTGCAGGGTTGATGGTCTACGAAACTGCATAGAGGTTTCACTGCCTAGTAGGACTGCACAGGTTGGTAAACTTGGATGCAATTACTCTCTTTGTTGTCATCGTTTGAATTGATAGCAACCTTTTCACCATGATCACCTATACACTTGGCATTGTGTATTTGCTGTTAACCCTCGCGCAAGCGAAGGCCAGAAACTCCATTTAGCAGAATCCTTGTTCATCCAAATGTTACAATGTATACAATAATTCAGTCGAGCTTTAGCTTTCCAATTCTTGCAGGTGTACAAATTGAGTCGAATTTTAAGAATATGAGGACATTCTGCATTCTCAAAGAAACCTTATTGGCACAGTTTCATCGAACCAAAGCTTGTTCCGGTGGCTCATCCATCAAATTTGCTGTCACTGTGAGTTACCAATAGGAAAGGTTGCAGTTAAAGTTCATAGCATGTTGGCAATGGCAACCAAGTCAGAATTAGCTGAGAAGGGAAGAATCATATTTCCTGGAAATTCATTTACTTAAAGAGTCAGAAGTTTGATCATCGTCAATCTGAAACCTTACTGCAGCTGTAAAATTTCACAGTTTTGTCCTAAGCTTCAATTCAAGCTTGACTGAATTTGTTTGTAAATATTATTTGCACTGTTTAGCTAAAGGATTGTTACATACTTTATTAAAGTATAGAACTCGATTTTGATAAACTGGTAATGAATTTTTTTAATTTCATAAATAGTTAAAAAGTTTATATATATACATATCCTAAAATATTGTTAAAAATATAGTATTTATAATTTTAAAAAATTGAGAAAAAATGATAGTGAGCAATTAGTCAGCTTCAATTAATTTGATTTTAATTGATTGATTAATTTGATCGATTAATTTGGTTGTAAGTTAATTTAAAAAAAATTTGAATTTAAGTTAATTTAAAAAAAATATGAATTGATCGATTATAAGAATGAAAATCAAAATAAACTGAATTGAAAAAGATTGATAAGAATTTTTGGATTTTTCAAATTTTAAATAGATAAAATATAATTTATAAAATGGATTGATTCAATTTAAAAAAGGATTGATTTATTTATAAAAAATTATTTATTTATCAATTTTGTCGATCGGTTCGATTCATGATGCAAACCGATCGATTACTGCTTAAATCGATCATTTAATTAAGAAAATTATTAAATTCGAAAAAATCAATCCCAATTTAATTAAAATTTAAAATTTTTTATCGATTTATTTTATTAAAACTGACCAATGCATTCTTTAATGTCAGTAAAACAAGACTTTTGTGGCCGTAAAGATTATTGAATTTTTTTTTATTTGAAAATAAATTTCAAATTTTATGGAAGTTTATTTTTTTGAAAAAAAAATTCAAGAAAGTTTCAAATTATTAAATTAAAAGACATCCTAACTGATCCAAGAAAGGAAAAAAAGACAACAGACTTCTTCATGAACCACTTTCAAACAGTCTTTCTCCATGAACCAATTCTTCCCTCAAGTCGATTCGCTCACCCACCGTTACACAAACCACCATGCCCCACCAATCTGCTACAACCATGTCATCACCTCCTCCCCTTCCAAAATGGAAGTCTCGGTCGACTTACATCCCCTGCCGATCTCCTACAACCACGTCACTCCTACCTCCTCATTTTTCAACATAGAAGCTTCCATCGCTGCCGTTGAGAGCATCCTCAACTACAGTTTTCGAAACAAACGCCTCCTTGAAGAAGCTTTAACTCACTCTTCTTACTTAGATTCGGCGTCGTATCAACGACTCGAGTTCGTCGGCGACGCCGCTCTGGGTCTAGCTCTTACCAACCACGTCTTCTTGGCTTACCCCAAGCTTGACCCCGGGCAACTGTCGTTGATCCGGGCAGCTAACATAAGTACCGAGAAACTCGCTCGCGTTGCCATTAAACACCGCCTTTTCCAGTTCGTCCGACACAATTCCATTGGTCTCGAGCATAAGGTTATTTCCCATTTCTTGTCTTTTAAAAATTAAAATTAGAAAATTACATAAATAAATTAGAAAACTTTTTCTTCAATTCCCTGTCTTTTTTTGTAGAGATTCTTTTCTATTAAAAAGTATAGAATTTGATATAAATAAAGGGTTGCTTTAGCACTCTTATTTATTATAGTAATAATTTTTGCATTAAATGGAATAGTTGTAGGAAAAGACATTACTTTATATAGTAATTTGGTTCTTGAATAAAAATGGGTTTTTGTTTTGTTATTATATTATAGGTAAGGGAGTTTGCTGAAGTGGTTAGTCAAGAAGATGATCCAGTTTCATATGGTGGATCAATGAAAGCACCAAAGATTTTAGCTGATATTGTGGAGTCTGTGGCAGCTGCTGTTTATGTTGACATTGATTTTGATCTAACAAAACTGTGGGTGGTATGTGATTTACTGTTTTTGGTTGATCATTTTTCGTTCCTCGTTGTTTAAACCTGTTTTTAAGGGTATGTGAAGTGAGGGTTAAGGGAATTGTTATGGTGTGCTTGCAGATCTTTAGGGGTTTATTGGAGCCTATAATTACATTAGAGCATTTGCAGCAACATCCTCAACCAGTGACGGTATTGTTTGAGTTTTGTCAAAAGCAAGGGAAGCATGTTGATATAAAGCACTGGAACAATGGGTTAAAAAATGTTGCTAGTGTTTTTGTAGATGGGGAGTTTGTTGCCTCTGGTTCTTCCGAGCAAAAGGAAATTGCAAAGCTTAATGCAGCAAGGGGAGCTTTGCATAAGTTGTTGACATCCATGCCTGTTGATGTCAATGCATTTGGAATGGATGGGATTACCGAGTCTTTTGAGATTGAAGGAGCGAAACAGAAGTTGCATGAGCTCTGCAGCAAGAAAAAATGGCCCAAGCCTATTTATGAGTATGACTTTATAATTTCTTTTAAACCTATTGAAAATTTTTCGGGATAAAGATGCATTAATGAATTTTCATCTCTAGCATATTCTTGTTTAGAGATCCCTTATATACAGAATTATGCACTTTTCCATTACCTCTAAGGATTAAATTTTTAGACGGATAAGCATGTATAATAAAGGTTTTTGTTCCATATTGTAGAGCATGTTAGAGTTCTTTGCAGTTTTTCTTTGACTATTAATGATTACTTATAATTAGGCATGAGGCAACTTAAAAAGCCAGATACCTATATCTGGTATCTGAAGGAACTGAATGGCAAGATAGACGTTCATGTAATAAGCAATGTTAATCACAACATCAAAATAGGATTCATTCCATTAATTGGGAAAGTTGCTTGTATTGTTATTGTCATGATGTAATTTTAAAGGACAATGCAAGGTTTCAAGTTCACATGCTGTTTGCCATTATTCTGACTTATTGTCAATTTTTTAAGTAGTTTTGTTGCCTTCTGTCTGTTAAAATATCTAATCATTTATCTTTTTATTGCTTCTATTTTCAGGCTTGAGAAAGATGAAGGTCCCCCGCATGAGAAGAAATTCATATCTGCGGTTAAAATTCCAACAGAAGATGGTATATTTTATACTACAGGGGATGAAAAGTCCAGAGTAAAAGAAGCAGAGAACTCTGCAGCTTCCTGTATGATTCGATCCCTTCAAGAATCTGGCTATCTGTGATTCTGCTCCTCACTTTACAAGTATCTCTATCATATCTCTAGCAACAGTTAATCTTGCTGTATGTTGTATTATTCAACAATAAAGAAAAAATTGATCACCAAATCTATCTGCATCTGTCTTAGCTTAAATGAAGTTCACCAAGATGTTGATGACTGCCTAGATACAAGGGTTCAGGAAAGCCAACAATGAGATCTCTGTTTATTTGTTGTATCTGGAAGAACATTCCATTTTAGAATCTCATGGACACCAACTTTCTTTTTTTTCCTTTTTTCTGGATCAGATGTCTTGGTGTTGAAGAGTGATATCAGGTAGTCCTCCAACGTAGTGAATTCAGAATGTCACTTTGATGATATGCTAATTTTCTCAATTTTAAAATTTTATGATGTTCTTCTATCCCTCAAGGGATGATAATTCTTGTATCAATACAATTTGATGTTTTCACACTTGCTTTATTATTATAGCAAGTGATCAACATAACCAGTTACAGTGGTCCAGTGCACAAATGTGATTTTGGTGTTAATTTCTCCATATTTTCAAGTTGAATTCTTGAATCAATACGCCATTTTGAAATTAAAAAATGAATCTTAGGACAATATTAAAAATCCAATATTTTGCCAATAGAAAAATGAATCTTAGCACTGGAATGCCTTTGATTGCAAGTCTGCAATATCTTTGATAATAAATCTGTTTCTGAAATGAGCAATGGTAGTTCTTGAATCAATAAAAAAGCAATTTGTTGCATTTAAACTGGTAATAAATATTATTTTGGCTTTTCCCCCATCAACCTAAAGGACAAATGCTCAAGGGGGAAGAATGAATTTGAGAATTGTACATGATGTTGGTAACCATATGGGATTCATTTTCTGTCAGCTTCTTCTTACTGTGCCTTGAAGATGAACACATTCATATTCATCAATTAAAGGGAGTTGAGCTTCCAAGAAGCTGCATTGCTTCAACAAGGGTCTTCTTGAATCTCTCTAAATTGATCTTGATATCTTGGCCATCAATATACATAGACCTGAATGCATAGTAGCCCTTAGAGATTACAGATTCTGGATCAGTAATGACAGGATGATCTCTCCCATAAGTGTCAATGAGAGAACTTTCCTCTGGTTCGATCTTATACTCCAAGTATCGGACATTCATTTCCTTTGCTGGTCCTCCGAAGTAGTTGGTTGCCACCCATTCATTTGCCAGTGGCACCACTTGAACCATCACTGCACCAGCGGGCAAAAATATTTCATTTGTTAGGCCAGCTCCATGAGCTCCAACCATGATACTACATGAGTTCACTACCTCAGCAAACTTGTCCAAGTTTGACATCCTGCCAGATTCTGCCCTTACGACTTGAAATCCTAGCTCCCCCATCATTTCCACCATTTCATCTTCATTCAAAAACCTTCTTGTTTTGCGGCGTGATATAAGTATCAGCACTGGCTTTTGAATCTCGGACACATGCTTTATTTTCAGATTATATGATTCTCTCAGGAAATTCCTGAAATCAAACATGGAATAACCTCCTGGAATATCAGTAGTGCTGAGGGCTAGATTGTCATGAAACTTAAGCCCTATTACAACCCCTGGAAAGCAGTGAACACTTCCATCTGCTTCAGGATTAATGACCTCATAACTAGATAAGTGAGAAAGAATCCTGTTGTACTTTTGAACCCACCAAGGCTGGAAATCTGTGATGACAAACTGTAAGCGGGATCTGAAATGGCGGCAAGTGATGAATAAAGGGATAATAATCTCATTGAACTCATGAAACACGTTTCCTGTGAATCCTTTAGAAGAGAAGACCACAGCTGTGACATTGTGAGTGAAAGTACAAGCTGGTGGATTGGTATTTCCTTGCAATATCTGAACTGGTGTAACAAGTTTCATGGCAGTTTCATCCTCCTTCCTTGCATATGGCTGAACAATTCTCTTAACTTGAGGTTCATCAGATGGCACATAAACTGTCAATGCTTTGTTATCGATCCTCACTGGTTTATTTGCAAGGCATACTTCTGAATGAATATCAGTGTGGCATGAAAATCCATTGGAGTCAAGCTGAGCTCGATCGTCACCTGTTCCATTGAACATAATATTCAAACATTTAGATTTCTTAGTGTGAATTGGCATTTAAGTTAGGAGAAATTAAATTCCAAGAATGCAAGAGATGAACAAATAACCTCTAACAAGTCTTCTTAACAAAAATTCCTGAGGATCAACTGCATCAACATCGAGCCTTTCACTGCTTGGATTGCCTCTTGAATTTGTTAACGGGTGCTTCCCTTCACATCCAACGAGTTAGAATCAGCCAGGTTATATATAAACAAAACTACAAAGAAAAATAGCCAAACATTTGAATTGATAAAAGATGATTACAGGACTCAAATATGATGTCTTTTGATGGAAAAAAAGTAGCATAAATCACAACAGTTAAAACTAAACAGATTGCCAGAGTTGCACAATTCACCAGCCTTCTCAGTTCCTTCTCCATGTTCTTTCAACTTTCTTTCAAACCGTAAAAAACCTGAATCCTGGCAATGAATGTGTTTGAAACAAATAATAAATAAATGAAACAAAACCTCAACCAAAAGATAAGAGAAAAAATGAGTCTTTTTTATGTTGTTAACCTCCAATCATCATATAATAATGTTCTGTATTTGTATCTTTCTATGAAATACTCAACCATTGACGGAGAGACTTCAGCTGCATTTCTAAATTATGTTGCCGACAAGTTCCCCAATAACATTTAGTTATCGAACTATTTTTATATTTTAATTCTATGGTGGTTGGTGCGTTATTTTTTTAATTTTGCATGATGATTTGACCATGAGATTGTTACATATAAAAGACTACATTATGTTTTTTTTCTTTTTTCTGATGTTTGCCTTCTGCTTCTTGGCTTTCATGTCATGGTTCCAACTATTTTTTATAATTATTTATAAAATGAAAATAATAAAAATTATATGCATGTTACAAATGATACTATGCACCAAATCCATTTATTAATATTTGGTGGTTAAAAAGTCCAAAAGGAACAACTTTGTTAATAAAGGTTTAGCCATTGGGTTAATAGGGGCTGCCAATGGGACAAGGTTTTGTAATTTATAATCTATAAATAAAGCCCACATTCCTACCTTAGGCCCAAAAAGGCTATTGGAGTATGGATGATGAACTGCCACATCAAGCAGTTCCGGGCTTGGTTAATTTGTGCTCCACTTAGTTTTGATGTTTCACGTTAACTCTTGAGCTAAAATCTTTGACAAAATGAGATAAAAAGTGATATCGGTTGAATTCAGTTTAATTTTTTTAGATATTATATAGTATTATAAAATTATAAAGTTTAATTTGAATTTAGATTGAATTTTGATTTTATTTGAATTGAATAGAATTTTATTGTTATTAGTTTTATTGATTTTAAAATTTTAATTTTTTATATATTATTTAAATATAAAATCTTAATATATATAAGTTGATTTTGATATAAAATTTTTATTTTTATTTTATAAAAATTTAAAAGATATATAAAAATTAAAATATATATATATAATTCGATTTGATTTTTTGTTTCTATTTTTTATCTTTTGTAAAATCTGATCCGAACCTAATATATATATATATATATATAATATTTAAATTTAATTTAAATAAAAAAAAACTGATTTAAATTGAGTTGAATATTTCGATTTCAAATCAAATTTTAATTTTTAATTTTTTTCTCACTCCTAAAATGGGCTAAGATTAAGCTTTGAATGGTACCATAAAATAATAGTATATTTGAATCTGAGAAGAGAAAAAGCAATTTCACTGATGTAAAGGCTATCATGTCTTTCAAAACTTTAGAGCAAAACCATGAATCTGTTTTTCTCAAGGTTGGGATATAGAGTGGGTGTCAGCATCTGAAAATGCCACAAGAATATCAAAGGGAAGCAGAAAAAGTAAGATAAGGATCCATGTTAGCAGCCTCAGCTTGGACCACCCCCCCCCCCCCCCAAGGCCACAAGACACAAGTGGAATTTTATAAGAATGATGATATGTCCTTATTTCCCACCACATAAATCAAAAATAAAAAAAGGGGTTCTAACATTTTGATATCAGAAAATTTGGAAACATCCAAAATGGTAAAATCCAAAGAGAACATGAAGGGGAAGAAAAGAAAATTCCAGGCAGGTTAACCTCACATGGATATCAGCAAAAGATAGTTGAATAGCTTTTCTTTTCAAACAAAGCATCTGGCACTAGCATTCAGGGTGCTATCAGTTTGACAATTTGTTTCTACTAATATGTCTGGCTGACATCAAGTCTTGTTGGTTCCACAACATTAACCTTTCTTTTTGAAGAATTGAGTTTTCACCAAAACCTGGTAATGGTGCACTGAATCCAGCTGCCAACAGCATAAAGGTAATAGTCTATGCTACTTGGATTAGGGTGAATGTCAGATTGAATACTTATCCATAGTACATGTAATTTTTCTAAATTTTTTCACATATTTGCAGCATTGGACATCTATTTCCATGTTCATTGAATACTTGAAGAAAAATGAACAGTCTGAACAATCGCTTATACTACATATGTTGTTTGTCCATTTAATAATTTTTAAGAATAATTTTTATGTCCAATTTGAATGTTACCTCCTTCAGAATTGGATGAATAAAAGGACAAATCCGATGCACAAAGGTCACAAAATAGCAACCCTACCATTCAGAATTGGATGAATGGTAGAAGAAAATTTTGTGACTTCACCAGTTAAGATATGCAAAAGTTAGTCAAAGTTATCTTAAAAGAAAGCCAACTCTAATTGTTGTCATACCCTTTTTCTTGCAGGCTATAAGAAAAGTGAAACTAAGCCAGCAAAACATTGTTTGTGCATTACCTTGCAGACTTTTTCTGTATAGTTGAACATCAATTTCTAATCCTGAAAGATCTTTAGAAAAGAAAAAGGAAAAGGAAGGATGAAAATCTATTGATAACTACAGAAAACTCAGTTGAAACTTCCCTGAAAGCTTGTTAATGAGTCAAGGTAATTATACCATCAACAGAGCAAAAGAGACTATTGACTGTAGTTTTCTTGTCATTTTGGATAGTTTCTTCTCTCTCAATCTTTTGTTTTGAGACTAGAAACTCAATGACCAGTTGACCAGTCTATTACTTACTGTGTTCTGTCAGATGAACTGGTCAAGGATTGATTTTACTTGTTTCAATTCAGACAAAATTTTCTTAGATACTTCTAATTGCTGATAAAACATTTTTTTTTTACTAGGATATTATTGCTGTGACTAAAAACTATGAACCATGGAAGGAAGATGCCCAGGCAAACACTAGTGTTTTAATTAAATCCCTTTCCTGCACAATTATACCTCATCCACATATCACACGGTTATAGGAAAATTTCAAGAACTGATATTCTGAACATTTTTCTCATCAAACAAATGTTACAATGTGTGTGTGTGTTTGTATATATATATATATATATATACACATATATATATTTATATTTATATGAGAAGTACTGAGATATATGGAAAAATCCTTAAATCATATCTATATTAATACAGAAATATAGTATGTGTACAATCCTACGCTATGTGTAATTTTTTGTTTCGTGAACCCTCAAGGTAAAATATTGTGTGAAGTGCCTGAGGAGACTAACCGTGCATCTGTTTGGCAAGCAGGAAAATGAGAGAAAAACATGCATGATCTGTACAGACCAGGAAGAACACTGGACATGGCTTAGTTTAATTAGTTCTCCCCTGACCAATCATAAATATTATACCCAAACCAATGATCCTAAACTGATGGTAAATATAATATGATATGATGAAGACTTGAAGAAAAATACACTTAAAAGGCTTTCTGATAGAATCCATGAATCTTCTTCAAGACTCTTCCCTCTGCATCTTCAACTGTTTGTGGAAATTTCCAATGAAAGTTTCAGATTTAGCAAATAACTCATCTTCTTCTTCCTCCTTCTCATGTTCCTCATCAACAGCTTCTGCTTCAGTCTCTCCACTTCCTACAAAAAAAGGGCTTGGAGTGGAATCACTCTTCTTGACTTTATCCACCTTGATCATTGTCCCAACAATCTTCTCAGGGGCAGATTTCTCGACAACCTTAGCTTTCTTTTCATTGCTTGTAGGAGCAACCTGTGTTTGATCATCCTTACTTTCAACAGCCTTAGCTTCTTGGCTTGTTACTTGTTTTGCTGCAACATAAGTAGGCCTAGAAAACACTGAGAGTAATCCGGCATCGGCTCCAAGTGCTATAATAAGGAGATTGAGGACAAAGTAAAGATAAGCAGGCCTTGAGGATGAAGATATAAGTGGTGCAATGTGTTAGGAAAATGGGGTCCAGTCCCATGTAAGTGGTTTTGGACCAAGTAAAGGCCATGGGCCTTGATCTTTTATTTTACACAGAGCCCTAGCTACTTAATAAAAAAAAGAGGTGGGGTTGTTTAGTGTGTGTGTCGAAAACCAAGCAGAGAAAGAAGAAAAGCCAGGAAAAGCAGAGAGAGAAAAAGGAGAAGGGAGAGTTGGTTGAACGGAAGTCGATCCGTGGTCCAATTGAGTTGGAACCTTGTCAGGAGGTTTATGATTCAGAGTTTGACATTCTGAACGGTGAAGATCGGGTTTGAAGCTCTCTAGGAACAAATCCAGGGTGTATTTGTTGAGTCACTTATTTGGTGAGATTTCTCCAATTGTTTCTCTAGTTGTTGATTAGCTCTAGTTTTAGCTAGAGAAGAACTTTGTATAACTATTATTTGATAGTGAAGATTTTTCTGGCGGCCCGTGGTTTTTTCCCTCTACACTGGAGGGTTTTCCACGTAAATCTTGGTGTGCTTTATTTTTCTGCGCATTTGATTATTGATTGTTGTCTATTGCTTCTGTATTGTTGTGATTATTGCTTCAGGCGCAACAAGTGGTATCAGAGCGAGGGTTATTTTGAGACAATCGATACAGAAGCATCTCAGGATAGAAGTAATTCTGTTTGAGATCATGGAGGGTGATACAGGTTCCATGATAAAATTGACAGATCAATTATTCAATTTGGAAGCCTATGATGGAGGATCATCTATACTGCAAAGATTTGTATGAGCCAGTATTAGGTGATTCGGTAACCAGCAGATATGAAAGATGAAGCTGGAAGAAGCTAGGTAGAAAGACGCTGGCTACAATCAGAAAATGGGTTGATATCAGCATGTTTCATCATGTAGCGCAGGAGTCAGATACTCACATTGTTTGGGAAAAATTGGCAGCATTGTATGAGAGAAAAACAGGTATGAATAAAGTTATGCTTGTTAAAAAGATTGCAACTTGTAAGTCTAAACATAAAATCTAAGTTTAGAGGTAAAGTGAGTGTTTCCATTGTGGTAAGGCTGGTCATATAAACGAAATTGTAGAATCTTGAAGCAAGAGCAA